TCACTTTCGGTTTACGTACATCGCTCAAAGACACCTTTGCTTAAGCTCCCTATTAGGTGCTGATGATTGAAACCTTCTCGAGTAGTCAGTATGAAGTACAAGTTTATTAGAGAGGCCTCATCGTTATTTAATATGACTGATCCAAACACAAGGTGCAATATTGCAGGCAATATGACGACAGGCTGTAACTTTATCAAGCAACCTTATTTACTGAGCGGCCACCAAGCATACGAAACGCAACGTTTTCTTGATCAGACAAAGAGAGAAAATTTCATCACCTTGTTACATGCAATGATGACCATAGTAGCGTCGCAATGAATTTGATGCGTGCAATTTGTTGATGCTAGCCACACGATAGAAAAACGACAACTTTGTTTCGTGCAATACTGTGGAACGCAGACAGACTATGAATTTGTTGCATTCACGGCTGTCATGGTAGTTACGCGATAACTAATTTGTGCGCAGTTTGGAAGACGGTAGACAAACGAGGAGTTATTTCGCACAGTGCTATATCTGTAATAGATACTGCACACACGACGAGTGAAGTGCGTGCAACGTTACAGAAGAAAACATACGATGAATTAGTCACGCGCAACGTAACATCTAGGAGACTCACAGTTGGTTACTGTTAATACCAATGTTATTAATGGCACGAAAGTTAGTCGGACGCAAAATTAGCGATGGGCCATACACGATACACTATCTAGCTACAATTATATCCCCGATGGTAGATAAACTATGAGTTAGTTATACGTAATGCCCGGGTAATGCTACGGAAGATTTACGGCCCACGGTGATGTAGATGCTAACTATGCTGAAGACGATGGCAACTGAAACAATCAATTGGTAACGCGCAATTCTACAGATGGTAGCCACAAAAAGAGTAAAGGGGTTGGTTTTTTTAAGAAACAGAAATGTTGCGTCAGAGGAATCGCGTGAAAATGAGTTGAAAACTGAAATTCAATTTACCACCGATGAAAAGATTGAAAGGCAATCCTTTAGAACGCTAGCCTTTATTCAAAGCGAATGGGTTTAATAGATGTAGAGTATTAGTTACCCTCAATCATATTTCAGTGGCAGGATCAGATCTTCAAGTAAGAGAGGAGCCCGCTTTTCCAGACCCTAACTTACGTGGAACGCCTGACCTAGAAAACAATTTTTCTCGTCCTTACGGGACTCAGTTTAGCCTAAAACTAAGGCGGGGGACAGGGTTGTCTTTGATCCGCTACTGCAGGTGGTAAATACAAGACGAATTATTTGCGCACAAGGCTACATAGAGATGGTAGACATCCGGTGACTTACAGTTGCGCATAATGCTGCATATCGTCAACACAAGGTGAATCAGTTACTGGCATCGTTTGAAAGGGTAGTCACACGATAAATTATATACTTATGCACAACATTAAAGATGGTAAGAACACGATGACTAATTGTGCGCACCACTGCGGCTTAAAACTCCCCAAACAATGAATTATTTTTCTGCAGTGATCATGTGGAGGAGACAAGAGGAAATAGTTGCGCGCAATGACGGTTGCAGGTGATAAGCACACGCAAAGTTACCGATGGTAGTATGACGATAGATTGGTTACAAGTAATGGTGGTGATGCTACAGATAACAGCAACATTGTGTAGTTGGGCGCAATGTTGGAGATGGCAAACAAACGATCAATTAGTTGTGCGCAGTAGTACAGATGGTAGCCATACGAGGAATTAGTTACGAGCAAACATTTTGCAGATAAGAGACCTTCGCCAGACTTGGCGCAAGCGATTAAGCACATTCTAGGGACACAGTGAATTAGTTGCTAACGATGTAGAATTCCTTGTGGGCGCAATATTGCACATGGTAGATATAGGGTGAATTTATTGCGGGCATTCTTGCGGATAACTATTGCTAATACGTATTCCCCGGAATACGCATAGACACTTAACGGACCAAGCACCAAGTGTCCGTCTAACAGTGATGTCCGTCTTCAACCTCGTCCTCAGGGCGCTTTTCCCTGGCTTTGAAGGTGGGGTCCCACCTTCAAAGCCAGGGAAAAGCGCCCTGGGGACGAGGTTGGTCCGTCTTATAGTTAAATAAAGGGAGTGAAGAAAGGCAGGTACCAACTCTAGGAGTCCGTTTTTACAGAGGAACCCGTCTTAAATAGGTGTTGTTAAGAGAGAGTCGACTGTAGTAGAGACGATGTACAGCCTCGTGTCTACAAATGTTACAAATGGTTGACATATGATGCAGTTTAAAGCGTAATGCCATAAATCAGGTGATAGGAAAGACGTTAATTGAGAATGAAAACGTTCCAAGTAAAGCTACGTTTGGTTGTCATACGATTAATTAGTTGCACCGCAACAGTACAAATGTTAGTCAAACGATGAGTAACACACAATGTTACAGACGGTAAATACATGATGAAATTAAACGGGCGCAGTGTTGCAGATGGCAGACAAGCCATGATTTTTTGCGGGCGTTGGTAGGCACAAGATAAGTTTATCACACGCAGGTCTTGCACAAAAATATGGTAGACTTGGAAGGAATTCTTCAGTTGGTATCCACATTATGAATTAGGTGCGCGCAGTATTCGAGAAGTAGCTGCAACATTGCGCCAAAATATTTCAGGCGTTAACACAATTGTCTATGATCAATTATATGCCTATTTAGAAGAGCATGACATCGTCTGTAAATACCAATCGGGCTTTCGTGCTATTCATTCAACTGTGACGGCTCTACTTGAGGCCACGGATACTTGGGCATATAATATTGACCGTTGCAAAATCAATGCCGTCGTATTCCAAGATTCAAAAAAGGCTTTCGACACGGTGGACAACGAGATCCTTGTATCAAAACTAAACCTCTGAGGTATTAATGGTATTGCCCATCAATGGTTTCAGTCATATTTAGAGGACGGCACACAAATGTGTTCCATCAATGGCCTTCTCTCTAGCAGTTGCTCCTTAATTTGTGGTGTCACTCAAGGTTCTATTTTAGGTCCATTATTACTTCTATTATATATCAACTATCTTTCCAACTGCCTGGCAATGCAAATTGCGAGCCTTGGATGTACGCTGATGACACCCATCCTTACATACGCGAGTAACAATATTCACAATATTCAGACAAGTTTAAACGAAGACTTAGAAAATGTTCACAATTGGCTAAGAGCAAACACACTCACTCTAAATATAACTAAGACTGAGTTCATGTATATTTGATCTAGGCAGAGGTTAATTACTGTAACAGTTTCCCCATTTACGAGTTACCCAAGTCGCTACTGCTAAATCTCTTGGAGTGACCATCGATGATAATCTCGATTGGGGTAGTTATATAGAGAAGATAATATTTAAAGTTTCTTCGGGCATCGGGACCATAAAGCAAGTAAGGCACCTTGTCCCCCAAGCAACCTTACAACTAATATACCAAGCTCTTATACAACTGACCTCACTTCAATGATTGCTGAATATTAGTTTGGGGAAACTGTGGGATGACCTTAAGGCACAAACTTCAAAAACTAGAAAATAGAGGAGCCCTTGTTTTGACATTTTCAGACTATGATGAAGACGCTGGTTACTTGATTGAACTCCTAGGATGGAAAAATCTAGCGCGCCAGCATGAAATTGAAAAAGCCTGTTCCAAGCGTTCAGATAGTGGAGAGCGGTGCGAAGTAAAGAAAGGGATGAAAAGTAGAGGGGGGCTGGGGAGAGCTCGCTTTTATTTTTTCGCGCTCCTTTTACTTCGCACCGCTCCCCACTATCTGAACGCCTGGAACAGGCTAGAAATTGAAAAAGCCACGATGGTTTATAGGTGTTAACACTGGTTGGTTCCAGAATATTCGTGTTCTAGGTTTGCAATACAAGAAACAGCATATAACCTTAGGGTCTCTGAGAGTAAACTTTGCATCTCATTACCAAGGACAAATTATTATAAAAATACCTTTAGCTATAGTGGCACCATTCTATGGAACAAACTCCCATGTAATGTGAGGCAAGCAAAGTCCTTTAAGAAATTCAAACGTCTTTTTAAACAAGTACTCTAGGACATGGCATTCGTGGAAGCAGCTTTTTACTAGTATTTTTATATTGTAGATAATTTATAATGTTTCCTCATTTGAATACTAAAGTAGACTATTTTTAGCTGATGAATTGACCGTGGATAAATAAAGATTATCTATCTATGTACGGCTAATTCTCAACTTGCCTTGCGGAATATTTCAAGAGTTTTTCAAGCTCAGTGGACAAATTAAGATTTATTTTAACTAAAAGTCTATAAACCCTCTTAAATATAGGTAATACGCGGTCTTGCTTACCTCTAGCTTTCGGGATTAACTTTCCTTCGGCTTGAATTGGTTCACGTGCTTGGAGCTAACGGTCTTTCCATGGCGAACTTTCATGTCCTGCGCTCGGTCCTTCATGGCTGTCCAACACTGCTTGATCACTGATTACTTCTTGAAGCTTAGAAGGCTTACAATGAAGGTTTCTTGATTCAAAACAACAGTAGAACGTGAATTTTATAAACTTCGTTCGCCATACTTTTTCTCTGCAGCTAACTTGAGAGAAAAAAATGAATAATTGAATTTTAATGAGGCCCTTCATTTACATTTCAATTTAAGTTTTATGAACTTACACTATACTGATCCTAGAATTTTATCCTGTATTAGAGCTCTTTAACAAACGTTTTAAAAAGAAAAAAAAACAACAGCAACAGCAACAAAGATGACGATCCCCCCAAAAAATTACGTATAAGTTATCTATTTAGTTTCAAGGGTCTTATTTTCAATAGAGGTTCTGTGAATTAAATTGTGTCTAATCTTAGCAGCCGGGGGCTGGTGAATTTGTCCACGGGCATTTTATCTTGCTGGTCCTGTAATCACGAGATTTGGTTTAACGATCGGAAAAAGACGTTTAAGGGGTTTAAATTTCAAAATTCCCGCATTTCGTCCACTTCCGGTAATCAACTTCCGGGTTCTCGTCTTTTGATCTGGGAGAGGTCTGGCATCTAATGTAATCAACATAGTTTTCGAGGGCCGGGAAAATATCTGTGTTTATGTTTTTGGCATCTAGAATTATAGATCATTATAGTCAAGAATTTTATACAACAACTCACGAAATCGGCATAGGAGATATGGCTTTCCTTTCACCTTTATTTCGCCTGAAGAGTCCGTGTAGGCTCAATTTTACGGTAGTGAAAAGAGCTCGGATTTCTACCCAGGCGTGGAAACTTAGGTAAGCGACGTTGACAGCTTTTATTAATATTTACACGTCCGATTTCCTAAAAATACGACGTTTCTTGTGTATGATATTATTTGTTCCGATCATTTATCAGCTACCACTCAATCAAAATGACTTATAATGTTTTGTTATTTTTCGTACTTTCGCCATGTTTTGTCCATGATCGTGACAGCTGTGATTTGAAAAATGAGAACAGTTGCGGAGAAATCTCCAAAGGTTCCCGAGCCAAGTACTACACGTCACCTTCTCGATCTAATATTATCAATATCTCCTCCACTTTGACTCTGAATGATGGCGTGAAAATCCCCATATTTGGTCTCGGCGTTTATCAAGCTGGATCGGGTGAAGAAACTCGAAATGCTGTTCACTGGGCTTTGGAAAACCACTATCTGCAAATCGACACAGCGGCGAGGTATAACAACGAGGCGAGTGTCGGGGAAGCTCTCCGGGAGAGTGGAATTCCAAGAGGAGATATATTTGTTGTTACTAAGCTTTATGATGATGATCATGGCTATGAAGAGACATTCAAAGCCTTTAATAAGAGTTTAGGAAATCTTGGATTGGAATATGTGGACTTGTATTTGATGCACTCTCCTGTTCCTGATAAAGTTGTACCATCTTGGAATGCCATGGTCAAACTACAACATCAAGGACTGATTAGGTTTGTTAGACATTGTGAACCTTTGATGCAACCTTAAAGCTCTGTGTTGAATGTCGGGGATCATTATATAATGTTTTTGGTCAATTCCAAAATTGACCATGCCCACCCCCAAACACCCCCCCTCCTGCCCCTCTGGGCAAACCGCAGACATTTGACCTTTTCGAAAAATGTTGGTCAAATTAACCGATATGTTGGCAGTTTAGGTGGTCAAAAGCCCCACCAGCTGGCGCTTTAAAAAGCGTCTTATCCCCCACCCACCAGCAACTGTTCAAAAATTGTCCCATGCATCAAACCATTTATTCAAATGTAAATATCCTACTAAACACAACTGACAGATAAGATATATATATGACTATGTACATGATCTTAAGATTGAGAGACCCCCTTTATTATTATTCGGGTTTTTTTTCTGTCCAGTTTCCCTTACATTTTACATTTATTTTTATTAAAAGGATTCTTATGTTGAGGGATCCTTATGCCTAGGGGTTCTAACACTGTACATTCAGCGTTCTTATTTATGTTCTAGGATTCTTATGTCCATGGCTGCATATACATAAAGGGTTCTTATGTCCACAGATTCTTACATTCTGGGGTTCTTACATCCAAGAGTTCTTACGCCCAGTGGTTCTTACATCTATGGGGGTTCTTACAATCATGGGTTCTTACATTTAGGGTTTCTTGATCTAGGGGTTCTTATGTTCAGGGTTCCAATATCCAGAGGTTCCTAGGTCCAATGATTCAAGGGTTCATGTTACATTCAGGGATATTACATCCAAGTGTCTATCACTGTCTAACATTCAGGAGTCTTACATTTAGGGTTCTTAGATCCAGGGGTCTTACATCTAGGGGTTGTTACATCCAGGGGTCTTCAACATTAATTTCATGTTTATGGTAATGGTGTTGAAAGTCTTGGCCCAAAATGTTGAACATTTTTTTTTCCTTAGTACATTTTATTAAATTATACACACTAAAATGTCTAGCTCTTGTTGGCATAAAAGTTGTGTCAGAGACAACTTACACAGACACATATTTAGAACACCATGATTATTGTGCTAGGTTACAGCATTATGTGCTACCAGAACTGTGATTACTGCTTACCCCTCGGAGGTGCATTAATAAATTGGTCGTGTCTTATGTGTACTTTTCATCAAATTGAATATAATCAAAGTGGGCCCTTTTACCATCCCTGTAACAATGGTCTGATATATTGTGCTGTACTCTTCAATACTAGGCGCTAAAAAATCCCTACTTTGATGTAGATTTACTGCAAAACAGAACCCAAATTCTTCATTCCAGTAATCATTTATCATAATTAAAGGATATGTTATTTCCACCAAAAACCAACATGATATATTCTTCTATCCCAGACAAAACCGCTCTATGTACCCTTATAGCTTAAATTGGCTATGTTCCCCTTGAGTATCGTCAATGACAATGTCAAGTGAAGTAATTAATATGCACTAAGACTTTGTTGTAAATTTTTATAAAAAGCCCCTCCCTTATATGCAGCTTACCCCTTAGACAGGGTAAATTGTGAATTTTCAGGTGACCTTTTTAAACCATAATCATGGTTTAATGTGAAAAACTCATCTCCGGAAATTGTAGGTAACTTATTTTTAGCAGAGAAACTCCAAATATCTTATACAAATGTAATGGTTATCCAGAAAGTTTTATCCTTTCTCTTGTTTTAGAAATTTGTGGGCAAAATTTGTTCCTTGGAACAGCCATTCTACAGATAAAAAGTTGATTCCACTATTTTTTCCATTTGTCCACCTTGTCAGGGGTCCTCAGTCCTGCACAAATTGACTATTTTCATTTTCCTGTAAAAGAGAGGCTGCTTTGTAGTCTATGGATAGGATTTTAGAATTCACAGTTTGCCAAGGTATTAGTGTTATTTTTTTCCTGCACAGATCCATTGGTGTCTCAAATTTTGGTATCCACCATCTTGAAGAACTGAAAAAGCACTCGACAGTGGTACCATCTGTAAACCAAATTGAAGTGCATCCATTTTTACAAGAAAATGCGCTGGTAAATTACTGCAGAAAAGAAGGAATTGCAATTCAAGCGTACTCACCACTGACAAGAGGTGAAAAACTTGGCCATCCCACCTTGAAAGCTATTGGAGACAAGCACGAAAAAACTCCAGCACAAATCCTGTTGAGGTGGTGCATACAAAAAGGTTATATTTGCATCCCCAAGTCAAGTCAATTATCCAGAATAGAAGAAAATGCTAGCATTTTTGACTTTGAATTGACTGACGATGACCTGAACATTCTGGATGGATTGGAAGAGGATTTTAGGACAGGGCGGCCTAAAATAAAGGAGCCGTGGAATGGGTAGTTGTTATTTTGCTCTAAACAGAGCTTTTTGAGAGCTGTTTACTCCTTTGATCTACATGTATTCTGAGCAGTGTTCATATGGCATTAAAATGATCTTGGACTGGACATGGTCAATTATTCATTTCACTTTTTTACATGTGGGTGATATCATATTATAATAAATTATAGGTATTTGTCATACAACAATTTAAGGCAATACAGCATAAGGGGTGGCCAATGGTACCTTGAAAAACGTGGGTCTCGGAAAATTTTGGCAGGATCTTGAAATCTCGGAAACGTTTTTGATAAATCTCGAAGTCTCGTTTTTTCATGGTTTGTTTTACTTTTTTTGAGTCTTGAAACTTTTCACCAAAGAGTCTCGGGCTCGGATTTCTAACTAGGATCTCGGCGTCTCGGCGAGTCTCGGATTTTACCATTTGCCACCCCTAGCATAGTACAGCATAATATATGGGTGCTTTTGCATGTGAGAAATGTGAAGATGTTTCGAGTGGGTGAGTGGTGCTCTCTCCTTATTTATTTGATATAAAAAATGAAAAAAGATAATAACGGTATGGTGCTATTCTAATGTAGACGCTTAATGACCTGACAGTCTGGGTTTTGGTGACATTACATGTTTTCAGTTGGAAGCCTGGTCGCTGAGTGGTTAACTCCATGACCTCAATTTCTGTTGGTCTAGTTTTAAGACTTACATCACTTTTTGTAGTCTCTCTTCACCCTGGTATAAAAATGGTACAGTACCCCCAGCCTATTTCTAGTCTGGGGGTCATCCTGCAGTGGAGTGTCATCCCATCCAGGGCTGGAAAAGGGGGGGGGGGGGTAACAATACTTCTAGGTGCTTCATGTCACAGAAAGAAGGTTACACTCTAGCCATATGGGCCTGTTTCTCAGGTAGCCCAAGCTCAAAATATAGAGAGAAAACTGCTTACACTAAAACTCACAAAATGGTCGTAATTGGGCTCGCACATCTCACAGGAAAGCAGTGACATACATTATTTTTTATTGAAGTACCTTAGTTTACAGAAACAATCGATTTTTTCTCCATACAAATTCTTATATTTCGAATGGTTTGTGCATATTTCGAGCTTGGGCTACTGGTGCAGGTATGTGCCTATTACCGTGTTTTTTTTTACTCTTCCTGCAGTTCTCTATACGCTTGTCGTGGTCATAAAGAGGAAACAGTGTTTAAAAATCAAAACGTTTTATCTGTGATGAACATGTCTTTTCTTCTCGTTACCTTTATGTTGAATTTGGCTGTGACATGTTTAGGAGAAGTTAGATTTTAATAACAATGGGTTTGCAGACCGCACATTTTGTAAGGGGAACTTTAACATTCTTTCTAATTAATAAGGCAGTATTTATCATTTGCAGGCAGAATTTACAATAAGTAGTTTATTATACTTTGCATTAGCTTTTTGTTAAAAAATATATTTATTTTGTGGCTGGAATAACAGTCTGTCGTAGAGCAACTTCAATAAAAATGCAAATGTATGGGTGCTAACTGGCAATCTATTAAGTTCTCTTCTCTTTTTCTTGAAAGGAAAAATGAGTCATTTTTTGATTCATGCGAAGAGAAACCATAGCCTAGTTATGGCTGTTGTCGTGTGTTGATTCAAAGCTTTGAAAGATATTCGCGTTTTGTAATTTTGCCCCAAAGGCTTCTTCATTTTTCCTTCAATTTACTTCCAGCGATTACAGCTACCAGTTTATTGTGGCATCTCGACTAAAATATGTGGAATTCCCTTCAATGCGCCCATGATCGTATCTAGGAGATGTCATGGAAAATCAGGTTATATTTCTGCCGTTTGAACAAAGAAAGAGGAAAAACGACGAAACCGATAACCATGGAAACAAGAATAAACAAATTATTGAATACCCAAGACTAATCTCCTAAATAATCTTCGACTGATACCTGACCATAGAAACAAGGATAAGCCAATTTTCTGAGACTATTCCCTTATATAGTGGAATCCCCGCTCTACGGAGACCTGCATATAATGGGCAGTTTCAGTTGTCCCAGCGAAAAGCTATAAAACGGACACTGGTTGATACGAACAACGGACATTTCTGTGTCCCGAGCCACAAACTCGTACATCGTCAACCCCGCTGTAAGGACACTGTTTATCTGTGCAGTGTCTATGACTGAATATCTTACCAGTGAAAACGTAACAGAAACGAGGATTAACCTTTCAAAAGTTCAGTCTGATATTCTGTGCACCTCGCTTTGTCGCAAACTAAAACGGCTAGTATAAAGTCAAAGTGACGGATTCCATTGTCGTGTTTAGGCTTAAGAACACTGACTTAAAAAGGGATTTTCGGGCGAGCTGATGAAAGATCTTAAATTTTCTTTAGAATAAGCCTGTAACAGTTTTAAAACAACGTTTTCTCGTGGAAATGTCTCAGTGCTATCCTCCCCATGTCAATAAGGCATGTGTCCGTGACTTTTGTGCTGAGAACCCGCTTAATACGGACATCAACACTATAAAATGTGTGTATTGACCGGGTTCCACTTTATGTGGTCAAGGTAGGCTTTCAGACTCTTTCGTCTGAGGATTGTTAGTAGAGCTAAAATGTGAGGTCCAACTTAGGGTGCGTTTTGCCCCCACTGGTGTGGAACCGCGGTTTAGGATTGGGTGTGGTTTTTTATATCCATGAACTTCCTTTTTAGCTTAGTGGGAAACTACGGCTAACAGGGCTAATACGTCCACTCTCTGAAGATCCTTGTGTCTACGAAGCCTAAATGGAGCAACTAGTATTGCGTGAAAAATACGACTGGAGTTGAAAAAAATGGAATTGAGAGTATATACAGTAGTATAGTCAGTATTTACTAGTGCTTCGTCTTAGCAGGGTTCAGCAAACGCTTTTAGAACAGCGAGGTGTTCGTCCTGTTTTTGAAATCATTTTTATTGTCCTTTTGCATTTTAAATTTTACTCTTTTCATTGGCCAAGCCGCGGCCGAGCTGATCTGTAATCAGCTTATTTACGTCGGGTTATTTTTCTTGTTCGCGTGTTTCAGACATGTTAATTCAGATCCTTCAACGGGTGTACCCAATAGTTGTAATCGGGAAATATGTTTGTTTCCGAAGCGATAGGAAACCCACATCAATTATGAAAGGGTTTGCATAACCATCTCTTTTTATTTTTGAAAACCTTGAAAATTACGGAAATTGAGTGTGGAAGATCGGCGGGCGAGCTCTCCTAAACCCATTCGCCCAGTCTGGAGATTTTGCCGAAAAACGCGTCAGTCCTGAAGCTAGTGGAGCGGTTTTCTGGTCACTGTCGTGCTATAAAGAGCTAAAACTTTAATACCATAAAGCCATTTTTGCGGCCTTCTGCTACAGATGCAAAATATGAGCTTGCGAAGTTCGGGCATGCGCAGAAAGAAGTCTTGACTTTTCTTTTTGCTTCTTCTCCTCTCCTCTTTGTTTTGCTTTTCTTTTATTTTTTCTTTAGCTGGGAATTAAGTAAGCTTCATTATGGTGGGACAAATTTTTTGGAAAGCTTTTAGGATCTTAGGATTAGAAGAAAGAAGAGGTAGTTGGGTAGTTAAACCAGATTTTCATGGAAATTTTCAGGTCAATGTTACATGTTTTTTTTTGCCTTTTTCTCCGGTGTCCTTGACTGAATTGTGCTCATTCTGGTATGTTTTGAAAGGTCTCTTTCACTCTGCACAAGTTAGCGGACAAAGTTATCCTTGACTATTAAAACTAATGACGTCACAAGTGGTAGAAGAAACGTGGATCCACACGGGCGGTTACGGGTGGTTCAGTGGCCAATTGTTTTAAAAAACACCAGCTGAGCCCGGTTCCTGAAAGACCGATTAGCGCTAATCCAGGATTAGAATTTTGTTTCACTTTTTTGTATCTACCTTCCTAAACATTACGTTAGAGTAAAAATCTTGTGTTATCATTACTGTATCTCAGAATAAAGGCTCAACAGTATTTTGTAAACTTAAGTTACATGTTCTTAGACGAGGAAAGGGTGCTTAAAACTAGGCTTTATCTTGCGTTAAACTTAACCATCTTTCGAGGAACCGGTCCCAATTTAGGACGAGAGGTTCCTTGACCTCCATTTATAATGACAGTATTGTGGCCATGATCAGCTGGGAAGGATATTACTTATTGCGAGCTGGAAAAATTGTTGCAGTGAGTCCGCCAAACAAGTAAAGAAGAAATAGGTACTGAATTCTATTTGGCTCCCAACTGCTACTGATCATTTGCTATTCTGTTTACTTATCATCCCCGTAGAAAATGTTTTCCTGCTCAGCAAGGTTATTTAGGGACCGGTCATTATTTATCGCCGGGGGGAAGGATTTGGGGCTAAACAAGGTGAAATTTAGCCGATCCCCCCCTTTGAATGTTACTTCATTGAAGTGTTCCCCCCGAATAACATTTGATGACTTTCGCGACTCCCCCCGCCCCCCCCCCACCCCATGTCTTCATTTTCAAAGCAAATTTGAGTGGTCCCCCCTCTGAATCCTTACCAAGTTTTGAGTGATCCCCCCTTTTGGGTTCTCAGTTACGACTGATCTCCCTTTTTGTTGTCCTAAAAATCAAGTGATCCCCCCAAAATCCTCCGCGCCCCCATCCCCAGACGATAAATAATGACCGGTCCCTTAACAGCTGACACCAGGAGCCTATCCTGCTGACACTTAATTTTTCCGCTATTCCCTCGCTACGAACTTTCGCTTCTGTTCCCCAGTCAATAGTTTTTTTTTCTCCTGAAACTGTCGATTTGCATCGTCCTTCTTTTAGTTAACACTTAATTTTACCCCTTTTATAGGAATCTTAGCGATAATCATGATCCTTTTTACTGATATCAGGCGAGACAGTAATTTGCATATGCGTTCAGTTAACTATGTTAATATGGCTCTGAAGTTATCGAATTGCCGGACGATTGATTAAGAAAAACTTAACTTGGTGAATAAAACACGGGATATTGAATATTAAACATTCTAATCATTTTCGACTGTTTACACTTTGTCTCAGTCGAATGGAAATGTGTTTAAAAATCGTTTACAGCTCATTTTCAACCCCTTTTCTCGTTCAGTTTTTTTTCTGGAAAGGTGGTGCTCTCTTTACGTATTTTCGACGAAATAGAAGTCGCGACCATCGCTACTGATAAAACAACGATCTTAGAGATAAGAAGATCGCATTCCACTTCGATGAAGTTTGACAACGTTAGTCTTTCGATGACGGCAAAGAAATCTGCCAAAAAGTGTACTGCATGTTCAAAGTTTTGTTTTGCTTATAAATTTAGCCTTTTGTATTTTCTCGTTTCGATCATTGTCGTTGTCGTGGTTGCTCAACCTCGCAAAACCATTCTCGATATAAGACCATTTCGTTTAAAAACCGCCGATTTAATGAAAAACGCGCGACAAAACGACTACCGTAGGTACCCATTACAGGCTCAAAGGTCTTTCTTTAAAGACCTGTATCCAAAAAAACATTCTAATAAGCAGCTCTTAGCAAGTTAGTCTTCTCTTTTGCTACAAAAGTGTTTCGTTTTATTCTTTTTCAGCCTTACACATTTTCGACTTTGAGCAGCTGCTATATTGCTCTGGGAAGACTGAGCCGCTGTAAATTAACTCCAAGTACGTCAATAACGTTTCAAATAATATTGTTTTTTGCCATTTGACTGACATTTTTTAGCACTTATAAAAATGGACCTATCGTTATTCTTAACAGGAAAACATATTCACATTTTTGTGTGATGAGCACGTCACATTTAAATTTTCCTCTCTCTGTCGAGAGAGAAGCGAGTTCATATTTTCGTACAACGAATACCCTGAGTGGACTCAAACTATTTTTTACACTGTTGCAAACAAACAAAAGGGCGGAAGACGACAGAATTAGTTAGCTAGGTCAATAATTAGAGAAATTGTAGATAAACATATCGCTGGTGAAATTCTAGACACTGTTCCGTTAGTGCAAGACCCTTTAACGTTGTATTCTACCATAGAACTTAAAAGCTCTTTGTTAGCGCTTTATACAATGACAGAAGCTAAAGGTTCGTATTCAACGCTTTTCGTTAACTTCGTCTTTAACTCTTTCCTATCTTCGACCGCCGTTCTGTTGAATATCATAACGATACAAGCGCTCAGAAAAACGCCGTCGTTGTCGAAACCTTTAAAAACATTGCTCCTGAGTCTGGCTGTTTCTGATCTGGGTGTTGGCTTTTTGGTTCAACCCACTTATATTGCAGTTCTTATAATGAAAATATAACAAAACGCTGACAACGGGGCATATTATACAATATATGACGCATTCTGCATCCAGAGCTATTTATTTAGTTTTGCTTCGTTTTTTGGTGTTGTTGCGTTAACTGTTGACAGATTCTTGGCAATCCATCTTCATCTCAGATACCAGGAACTTGTGACTCACAAGCGGGTTGTTGCTGTAGTTAGTTCAGTCTGGGTTTTAAGTGCCTCTGTTGTCTTGCTTCGTTTGAAATGGATAAGGATCCCCTCCTATATCTTAGCAACCTTTTCTTAATATGTGTTACATAACTACAGGCCTTTTTTATTGCAAGATATACGCAGTCATTCGGCACCACGCAAAGCAGATGAACGCTCTGCAACAATCAGCACAGAATGAAGACATGGCGAATGCTGCAAGGCTGAGAAAAACTCTAGTTGCTACATTTTATGTGTATTTGGTGTTTTTAGTTTGCTATTTACCAAGATTTTGTACTGGTGTTGCAAGAATGCATGGTGAAACTCCCTTGTTATCACTATTATCTGAGTTCAGTTATACCTGTGTGTATCTAAATTCATCTCTCAATCCGCTGATCTACTGTTGGAAGATGAGAAATATTCGTCAAACTGTCAAGAACACACTACAAGGCATCTTTTCCTGTGGTGCCTGAATAGAAGCTATATTTCAGAACAATTCTGCTTTTTATCTCGGAGGAAAACAAAACCCTTATTAACGCAATAAAGTTTTTCAAAACATGATGTACTAAAACCTGTGATGCTATCTGTTCGGGATTATTTTTTCTGCTACAGACCTTGAAAATTTAAAAATTATTTAAAAAACTGTTTATTGAAATCCATGAAACCGAGAAAGAGTTGAAAAATGTCAGTGGAATTCAGGCAAGTGAGTGAATGAAAGTGAATTTCGATTTGATAAACACAGCGCCGTGCAATGAGTGTAAATAGTATATAAAGAAACAAAAGTCCTCCAGTAAAGGCGTTTCTTTGGCCTTCTGCAATATAGGTCAGAGGTGTTGAAGCTTTTAACCATAGGGCAGGCAACCCATGCCCCCTCCCCCCACCACCAACAAAGGATAAGTAATTAAACTCATCTTGCAAAAAAGTCTATTGAATGTTACAAGAGATGGCAACTGAAAAATGTATCGTTATCGGAATACCTTGGATTATTTGTTGTAAGTAATCTAGCAGTTCTTGATCAAGTACAGTTGCAATGTATTGCAATCAATAGAATCAATATAAATCAATGAAGTTATCAAAAAATGTTCGGCCTGGGAGGGGCGACAAACGTTGCTCAGGGGCACCCATTCAAATAAATGATCCTTAAATGAAATCATAATAACAGAAATACTTATATATAGAGAGAGAGAGATAAAAAAGGCCACGCAATGAGATCTTAAATGAAAATGTCACTGGTATGGCTCCATTCGCAAAGACATGTCAACTACATCAAGAGCAACAAAAACGAAGAAAGAGGAATGCATTAATTTTTCTCCACAGTTTCTCTCAAAAATTTCGCTTCGCACTGTTTTTCCTGTTGACTATATGTCTGAGTAGCTAGTCTTTGTTATTTACATCCTACGTTTTTCAAATTAACATGAGAGCTTTCCTATAATTTGTCTCGACCATATTTTAATCAAATATGCTCCTTTTTATTTGACAATGACGAACCATTAAGTGAACCCGACCAACCTTAATAAAGCTAATATTGTTTTTTAACACATTTCAAATACTGAAATCAACTTTGAAATTTAGTTTTCAAGCTAACTGTAAATGAAAAAAACATATCGCTTTCTATCAACATTATTTACTCATCAATATTTTCTTGTCGTGTTGGCTGCTTTTAGACCGGATTTGTTAAAAGATATTCATTTTTAAACATTCCCATCATTTGCAACTGATTTAGGCATCGACTAGACTGATTATTTAGTAAAATAACAACCTAATACGCCTTTGGTTTCGACCTCTTTTATTCACCGACAACTCTAGAATGATTCTTTTTTTTTCAACGTTTTTAAAAGTTTTCGATAAACACATGGCTACCCACTTTAATATTGACAGTGAACTGCTCACTTTGAAGTTAAATCCAATTGCGTCGTCAGTATGAAGTTCTAATAACTTTCTTTCCTTTCACCTGGTAAACTTAATTGCTTATAAATGATCGGCCTATCGTTTGAGTTTTTAGGGGACAAATTCAAATGTGTGTTTGATGATGACATCACATGAATTTGTTTTAAGACCGACAGTTTTTATTGAAAACTTTTAGCTATTTCAGTTCCTATACGAGTGAACTCAAACCTTCTTAGAACTGCAAACAGGAAAACAAAAGCTATCCAGCATGCATGGAGAGAGTCGGAGGAAGTAGAGGAACAATTCGCGAACCTCTGAAGATTGTTCTGTCGTGGAGAATTTTCAGCGTTAGTCTCACTCAGAAACGGATGACATCTCAAAACCATTTAAATTTTTTGCATATTGTAGAAACCAAGCACTGATCACTGAGGATTATGTACAAAAGATGGCAAGTACTAAAGGCTTGTATCCGATTCTTGTTGCTAACGCCGTCATTAACGCTTTGTCGTCTCCCGCCTCTGTCGTGTTGAACATCATAACAATACAAGCGCTTAGAAAAACGCCGTCGATGCCAAAGACTTTAAAAACATTGCTACTAAGCCTGACTGTTTCTGATCTGGGTGTGGGCTTACTTGTCCAACCAATGTATGTTGCAAGACTTGTGATTGAAATAAAACAACACACTGACAACATTGTTTATCATGGCGTAGATATCGCATTGACCGTTCAAGCCAATATATTGTCCTTTGCTTCGTATATTGGTATCGTCGCTTTAACTGTTGACAGATTCTTGGCGATTCATCTTCATCTCAGATACCAGGAACTTGTGACTCACAAGCGTGTTGTTGCTCTAGTAAGCTCAGTCTGGGTGTCAAGTGGAGTAATTGCCTTGCTCGGTCAGTTCTCTTCGCGGCTAATTTTGTCAGCTTTCCAAGGCACTATTACAATTATTTGTTTCATAATCACAGGAATATTTTACTGCAAGATATATGCAGCCGTGAGACACCACTCAAATCAAATCCATGCCCTTCAAGCAGCACAGAATGAAGACATGGTGAATGCCACAAGGGTGCAAAAATCTGCACTTGCTACATTCTATGTTTATGTGGTGTTTTTAGTTTGCTATTTGCCAATTGGTTGTACTGGTATTGCCAAGAGCATTGCTGGAACTACCTTTGTATCTCATTTATGGTATTTTACATTCACTCTTGTGTTTCTCAACTCATCCCTCAATCCCTTGATCTACTGCTGGAAGATGAGACACATTCGACAAACTGTTATGGATATACTTCAAAACATCTTTGCATGAGGTCCCCAAAGAAATTAAGGCTCTATTAACTCTGCCTGTTTTGCTTTAATGAAAACAAAAGCCTGTTAGCAATGCAGTTGGAAAAATGACGCTAAATATAAACTGGACCTGAAACCTTTCAAAACAATCTGTTTGGAAGCCAAATTTGTATTTATGACCGAGTATCAGGGGCACCCAACGAGAATTAGTTCAAAACCACTTAAACATAGAATTGTTAAACGTATTTTAGTATTTAAACGGTAGATATAGGTATATTTTTATCCCCTAAAAATTTTTCATCTGTTCGGATTTCCTAGCTGAAACTCAAGTGAAACTCAAGTGAAACTCAAGAGAGGTAGACGAGTGCATGAGTGCAAAAATGCGGGGTGGTTTCCGTCGAACAATTATTGACTTTTAAATTAAAAAGAGAGCCGAATTTTTAGAATTCATTTGTTGTAAATTAAGGTGGCCCGAACCTATTTATATGCGCGTTGGTTATGTTTTAAAATCGCGTTTTTCGGCAGAAAAGATTTAGCCGATTTCTATGATTTTTAGTATCCTTAATAAACAATGGTCGAACTTTAAGAAACTGTTATTTATTTTCTTGTAGATAAAAAAACGTTTGAGATATTAGCATGTGTTTAAAACCACATTTTTACAAAAAATGTCGATAACTTGGAAACCCTAAGACCGTCCAGATTTTCCTCTAACTTTAGCAAATAAGCCTCAGAGCTCTCTAGTTTTATATCTGCAAGTTTGAAGCAATCGTGACCGTAGAACGCGCTGCACAAATAGCTGGTCAAATTTAACCTTAAAATGCAACTCTAACACATTTCTGAAAGTTGACACGCAAATAGAGGAAAACTGCCGACAGGCTATCTCCTATCTGCAAGGGTATTCTTGCCCAAAGCTTTAGTTGCAAGAAACTGGGTAATCAGAAACCTGCGGCGAATACAGTTCGCAATGCAAGTAGAACAACCGTTTATGCTGAATGCGGGAGGGATAAGCGAACATCTATTTATCAAAGTTACTGTGTATTTGCCCTTCTCTTTTCCAAAAAAACTCTCAAGAAAGCAAGATATAGCATTTACGGAAATCTCCTACCAGTTTTTAGCATCGAAGATTCCCGTCTTGAGGAGAAATAAACTGAGCCACCAACTCCAGTACTTCAATCGATCCAATCTCAGCTGCAACGAAAACCCTTGTATTAGGTAATTTATCCAAGCTTGTACGATTTGCCATCACATTAGCACGGGCAGTTTGCCACTGGGGATAATGAAAAGAATAAGACGATTGTCATATTTTCTTCATCTTTATCCCCAAGCGGCAAATTTCCCGTGCGAATGTGATGTCAAGTCTGAAAAGCTTGAATAAATTACCAAGCACAAGGGCTTTCAGTGCAGCTGAAAAATGCATGGACGGTTAGAAGTAATGGAGTTGGTGGCTTTATTTCTCCTGAAAACGGAAAGCTGCGACGCTAAAAACTCTTGAGAGTTTTTCGTAGATGCTATATTTTGCCTTGTTCGGATAGGTATCGAAAAGAGAGGGACAAATACAAAGTAAGTTTGATGAATGGAAGTTTTTTTTATCTTGCCCTGCATTCAGCATAAAGTTGTTCTTCTTGCTTTGCAAACTGTATTCGCCGTAGGTTTTTGATAAGCCAGTTTCTTGCAACTGAAGCTTTGGGCAACAAGACCCTTGCACGTGGGAGATAGCCTGTCGGCAGTTTTCCTTTGTTTGTGCGTCAACTTTCACAAATGTGTTAGCGTTGCGTTTTAAGGTTAAACTTGACCAGCTGTTTGTGCAGCGAGTTCTAAGGTTGCGATTGACATCAAACTTGCAGATATAAATCTAGAGAGCTCTGAGGTTTATTTGCTGAAGTTAGAGAAAAATCTGTCTTAGGGTTTCGAAATTATTGATATTTTTTGTAAAAATGTGGTTTTATACATATGTCGATATCTCAAACGTTTTAATACCTTCAAGAAAATAAATAACGGTTTCTTAGAATTCGACCATGCTTTATTCCGGGGCTTTATTAAGGATGCCAAGAATTATAGAAATCGGTCAAATCTTACCTGCCGAAAAACGCGTTTCAAAAACATAACCATCGCGCATATAAATAGGTTCGGGCCACCAAAAAAAAAAAAAAGAAAAAAAACCCAAAAATATATCTGAATAACTTTCTCATTAAATGCTGCAAGAGCAGCAGGAGAGGCAAAAAATCCACATGGTTTATGATAAATAATATATTTTAGTAAAAATCCAACTAGTGGTCTACTATCAATGCTGCGTTCTGATTGGTTGATCTACTAGGATATATGTCATACTGAATTCTGCGAAGCTGATCGTACTACGTGAAAAATAACTTTGCAAGACATCAACACGACACCGAAAGAACCAAAAACAGAGAGGGGTCGTAGCCGTAGATAACTGTGTCGCCCTTTTGGGGGCTCGTCACTGCGGCGCAACGAACAGAGAGGCTCTGCCGTAAAATTCCCGCACACTCTGTTTTAAAGTACTGACATGAACTCAAACACTCACAGAATTACGCCATATATGTTATAGCCCACTAGTAGCAAAAAGGAGTAATTGTTAAATAGCTCATTAAGAAAGTAAATGAGAGTAGAAGTTCTTGATCGACGTTTAGTTAACAGGTACAGCTAGAGAATATATTGCAATCAATAGAATTGATTCTTATTAATAAAAATTCTGTCAAAAAAAGTTAATCTTATAATGGGTGGTAAACATTTTTCGTTTGTGACGACACACGCAATCACGTAATCAGATGATGCCCTCTTTTTCGTCCAAGTTTTCAACCTATGCAGGTTTCGTTGGTCATACCTATCATGTGCTGCTGGTTACACTTGAACACGCAACACCGGATGATTGGTTACTTCTTGTAAACCTTTCTTTGGATGGAAGAGGAAAATTTTTCCCTCATCTCCTCGCGCTCCTTTAGTTGAAGGACACGTGACCATATAAATTATTATTTATTTGTTTTAATGAACTATCAGTTCATTTTTTGCCCGAGGGCAGCAAATGAGTTGGTTTGGAGCCTTTTCCTTAAGGTCTGTTTGACTTTGAATTTGCCATCCAATGCAAACCAGCTGCCTAACAAGTTAAATGTCGCGTCAGCAGTTTCAAGTACTTTTACTAGAAAGACTGGGTCTTTCTATCATCCATGATTTGACTGACGAAATTCAACAGTTACAAAGCTCGACGATTAGACGATCGTATTGCCATTCCGATCAAGTTTGACAATTAACGTTAAAACTGCCAAAAATCGTGCTGCATGTTCAAAGTTTTGTATTACTTATTGCTTCTGCTTTTATTATTTTCTCGTTCCCTTAGTTGTCGTTGTCGTGGTTGCTCGACCTCGCAAAATCATTCTCAATATGCGACCATTTCGTTGAAAAACGCGCGACAAAAACGACGTCCGCAGGTACCCAAAGAGAGGCTCAAAGGTCTCCCTTTAAAGACCTGTAACCAAAAAAAAAACATTCTAATAAGCAGCTCTTGGCGAGTTAATCGTCTCTATGGCGACAAAAGCGTTTCGTTTTATTCTTGTTAAGTCTTTTTGCACTGTTTTCGACAACGAATAGCTGCCTTATTTCTCCGGGATGAGCCGCTGTAAATGAACTCCAAATACGTCAGTAACGGTTTTGAATAATGTTGTCTTTTCCTTTTTGACTGACTTATTTCAACACTTATAAAAATGGACCTACCGTTATTCTTAAAAGGAAAACATATTCACATTTTTGTATAATGAGCACATCACATTTAAATTTTCCACTCTCTGTTAGAGGAAAGGTCTAATTAATTTCAAACGACTGAGTTCATATTTCGGTCCAGCAAATACTTTCAGTGAACTAAAACTTGTTCTTATACCTTTGCAACCAAACAAAGCAACGAGAGTTAGCTTGTTCAATAATAACAGGAAGCGTAGGGGAACATATCGCCGGTGAGAGCCTGTTCCGTTAGTCAAGCGAAGAAGCACTTCCTCATAAACACCTGCGAGACCCTTTAACGCTGTATTCAACGAGAAAAACTACTTATCTTCAACCACCATCGTGTTGAACATCATAACATTGCTCCTGAGTCTTGCTGTCTCTGATGTTTGTGTTGGCTTTCTGTTTCAACCCATTTATGTTGCAGTTTTTGTAATGAAAATAGACTCGACAAAACGCTGAAAATAGTGCTTTTTACACAATATTTGACGCATTCTACGTCCAGAGCTCTTTATTTGGTTTTGCTTCCTTTTTTGGCGTTTTACCGTCAACCGTTGACAGATTCTTGGCAATCCATCTTCATCTCAGAGAACAGGAACTTGTGACTCACAAGCGGGTTGTTGCTGTAGTGAGTTCAGTCTGGGTTTTAATTGCCTTTACCAGTGCCTTGCTTGGTTTGAAATGGATACGGATTCTTGGCTTTATCTCAATCCGATTGCCATCAGAGGAAGAATAGTGGAACACTGAGAGCTTCTTAGGACTGTTCAACTATTCCCGCAACGAATCATTTCCAGTGTCAGTCTTACTTGAAGAGAAAACAGTTGCAGAGCTATTCAAGCTATTCAAAAGTTCCGTACAAAGACAGAAACGTAATGATGGAAACTGAAAGTTTTCGAGAAGGCTGTCGCCGAACATGAATGAAACTGAGTTCTCTCTTTAGTCCAGTTGCCATCGAGCAAAGGAAGAATGCAGAATGACGGAAGCTGAAGGTTTTCCAGAAGGTTTGCACCCGACTCTTGTCGCTAGCTGCGCCATCAACGCTTTTTGGTCTTTCACTACCATTGTATTGAATGTCATAACAATACAAGCGCTCCGAAAAACGGCGTCGTTGTCAAAGACTTTAAAAACATTGCTCCTGAGTCTGGTTGTTTCTGATCTTGGAGTTGGTTTGCTTGCTCAACCTCTCTATATAGCAACTCTTGTAATAAAAATTGATCAAAGTACGCTATTTGGGTTCAATTTACTTCCCGTATTCTTCGATTTCTTGGATATGTATTTTTGCCTGCTTCATTTTTGGCATTTTCGCTTTAACTGTTGACAGATTCTTAGCCATTCATCTTCATCTCAGATACCAGGAAGTTGTGACATTCAAGCGAATTGTTGCCTTAGTGATCTCAATATGGGTGCTCAGTTCAGCTCTTTCGGTACTTGCTTTGAAAGAAAATTTAGAGAAAGTTCTCTCCTCTGTTATTGGAATCATTGCGTCAGTTTGTCTAATAATTGCAGGAGTTCTTTGCTGCAAAATGCACGCAGTTGTTCGACGCCACAGAAATGAAATTAATAGCGCTCTGCAAGTACAACAAGTAGCACAGAATGGAAAACTGGCAAGTGACGCAAGGCTGAAAAAAACTGCACTTGCTACATTTTACATGTATATCGTGTTTTTGGGATGTTATGTGCCATACTTTTGCGTGAGAGCTGCTTCTATAAACTCCGGTGAGTCTGTGTTGCAACAGCATCTGTTTTATTATTTTTTGACACTGATGTATCTTAATTCATCTCTCAATCCTTTGGTCTACTGTTGGAAGATGCGAAACATTCGACAGGCTGTGATAAGTGTACTTCGTAACCTCTTTCAAAGTCAGTAAGGCTTACCAAAGTCAAAGATAGGTATAAGGCAACATTTGAACCTCTTCAAGGAGACCACACCAGAAAAGCAATACGTTGGAAGGCCGTTCCAAGAACCTGAAATAAAAGAATGCTGTTCTAATAACTTAAAGCGCTATTATGCTTTTTTATATAAAAAGGACATAAGACGCCCTAACCGAAAGGAAGAGCTTCAGTCTCTCTGTCACTCCAACCTCATTTTCTTCAACGTGTCCTACCACCACCTATACTTCACTAACACACTAATTTACTGACTCTTCTCCACTGATTAAAGAATGCTAATCTGATTTGTCATACTGATATATATAACGCTATACAGTCACTCTTCTCATCTAAACCAGGAACTCCGTTTTGCTTCTTCCTCGTTTCTTTGTTACCCTTTGTTATCCGGTATCTTTCAGTTAACTACTCTACTCCACTTAGGCCCACCCCGGCCCTTTCGACCTTGCCCTTTAAACTTACTAGAGAAGGTTTTCAAAGGATGTAATTGTCTTCATTTCCTACCTACTTCTTGTTTCTGTTTTCCAAACACTCAAAACTTACCCAGTCGGCGGGTTTGTTTTGACCATAGTGCATGCAATCAAACCATTTTTCAATGTCATTGTCAAAGATAAATAATTAATATTCGATCTTTGCTTTAGCGCTTGGTAAAGAACGGCACCTGAGGCAGTTAACAAATCAGCTGCAGTTTATTTTAAGAAAGATTATCATTGATCGGTGATTAAGACGAAGCCGGCGAAGAAGAGTCGACCTTCTTTTACGAATAGGTTTTGTTTGTGCGGGGGACTTAGTATAAAGACCAGTAGTTTGTTTATTTTGCCTGTACAAATGTAGCGTTAAAAATTTGCAAACGAGGTTGTTGGCAAGAGAATATTGTTTTTTTCTTTTTGCCGAGAAACCTTGAGGAAAAGTGGTCGTATTAAGTGCCTCGATCGTGTTTTTGAGAATAATGAGCGCGGGTAAAATGTTTGCGGATTACAGCCTAGGCCGAGTGAGAAATTCAGCACATAGGGACATTGAGGTTATGATGCTATATAATGGCATATTTTAAACATTTTAAACACACGACTTATTTAGATAAATTAGACTGTTGACTTCATATTAAAATAACAACCTATTACGCCTTTGTACTCAACCTCTTCCCCTGAAATGAACTATTTTCTTTTTTCCTTTTCAGCCTTCTTGCATTTTTCGATAAACACATGGCCTTGGGTACCACTAATGCACTGTGAACTGCTGGGATTAAACTTCTGTCAGTTGCCTCAGTAGTTCTAATAGCTTTCTTCCGATCCATTTCACCTGGCAAACTTAAATGCTTATAAATGCTTGTTTGAGTTTAAAGTAAATTGTATTCAAATTTTTGTTTGATGAGGACATCAGAAAACTGAATTTCCAGTGGTATTTTTTAGACCCACAGCTGTTTTAGATCCACTATATATTTTAGACTCTTCGAGTATTCGGCTCAAACTTTCTCACAAATGATTGCAAACGGGAAAAATGGAAATTGCCAATTTAATAATCAGTATACCAGGAAGGTAACATGATTCATCATTCATTTAGTCTCGTGAAGAGTCTTTTACGATAGTCAGTCTCGTTTGAACACGCAAAACACCTCCAGAGCCCAATTAATTAATTGCAGCTATAGAAATGAGCTGAATTAAGACTGATCAATAAAAAAAATTTCGCTACACTTTTGCTCCCAGCCTCTTTTTCCCCCCTGAAATGAACTATTTTATTCTTTTCTTTTTTTGCTTTCTTAAAATTATTTAATAAACAGATAGCCTCGAGTTTCACTAATGCACTGTGGACTGCTGTGGGTTTAACTTCAATTGGTTGATTAGTTATAGTTCTAATGACTTTTTTCCGTTTCACCTGGTAAACTTAATTGCTTATAAAAGCTCTAACTATTGTTTGAGTTTAAAGGAAAATGTATTTAAAGGGCGAGCATCATTAAACTGAATTTCTAATTCAGTGTTAGGACCGACAGTTTTGATTGAAAACGACTGGATATTACAGATCCTTCAAGTGAACAAGCTCAATCTTTCTTACCAAACTATTACACCTATACTACTGGAAAAAACTCTAATACTGGGCCAATCCTATAATCAGTTCTTCTGAGAGGAAGTGCAGTGGACATTCATTGTTTAGTAAGCCTTGCGAAGAATCTTTAAGAATCAGTCTCGTTTGAGCACGGAAAGCACAGTCATAGAACTGAATTAACGGAACATTACTCAGGGTCCCCTGCAAAAAGATGGCAATTACTAAAGACTTGCATTCAACTCTGGTAGTTAACTGCGTCTTCAACGCTTTCTTGTCTTCCACTACCATCATGTTAAACATCATAACAATTCAAGCGCTTAGAAAAGCGTCGTTGTTCCCGAGGACTTTAAAAATCTTGTTACTAAGCTTAACTATTTCTGATCTGGGTGTAGGCTTACTTGTCCAACCACTGTACGTGGCTCATCTTGTGAAGATTATAGAGCAGCGCAATAACAATAGTGCTTATGATACAATGAGCAAGGCATATTTTATACTGAGAAATTTATTTGCTTTAAAGTCGTTTTTAGGCGTTGTTACTTTAACTGTGGACAGATTCTTGGCCATTCATCTTCATCTCAGATATCAGGAACTTGTGACTACCAAGCGTGGTGTTGCTGTAGAGTTCTCAGCCTGGGTTTTAAGTGCATCAATTTCCTTCATTTCCTTGTATTCGTTTGAGATTTCTTCTATTATATCAGCAATTATTGTAGCTGTTTGTATCATAATTACAGGTTTGCTTTACTGTAAAATATACGCAGCCGTAAGACACCACACAATTCAGATTCACGCTCTGCAAGTACAGCAAGCAGCACAGTATCAGAATGGAGAAACGGCAAATGCCGCAAGGCTAAGGAAAACTGCACTTGCTACATTTTACGTGTATTTGCTGTTTTTAGTTTGCTATTTGCCGGTAACCTGTGTTCTTCTTGCCGAGAAGAATGGTAAAACTGCCTTGTTATCGCATTTAAGGTATTTTACTTTTACCCTTGCGTTTGTTAATTCATCTCTCAATCCTCTGATTTACTGTTGGAAGATGAGACACATTCGGCAAGCTGTTCTTAGCATGCTTCGAAACATCTTTCTGAGCGGTCACTAAAATGAGACAACAGTACCGTAGGAAGAAGGACACTAAATATAACCGCGACATGAAACCTCTTAGGAGTTTTCGTTCGAGAGGGATAGGTAAAACCGAGCTCTGCACAGATAAGGGTCTTAAAACGTTTCATAGATTAGGTTAGACCTTGTAAACCAAAGTGCATGCAATCAAAAACTCCCCAAAAGGCAAAATTGTATTAATAAATCTTTCATATATTAAACGTTACAAAGTCTTACAAAAGTGCTGAAAAAATGCACGGATATCACAATACCATAGCCCATTTGTTGTAACGTAAATAAACTAGAATTTCTTGATCTTTTGGTAAAGTGTACAGTTGGCAATGAATATAGTCAATAAAGTTCCGGCCTTCAAAATGGGCGTTTAAAAGGAAGGTAAAAAAAAAAGTTCGATCATTTTTTTTTGTTCAATCAGAGAAATGTTTAACTAATTTCAGTCTTAAGATCACCGTTAAAACTTAAGTTTCTGACTGCGAAAGAAAATAGACGCTTGTTGAAATCATTATACGTACTACGCGGGGATGAATAGAAGCTGATAGGGACGGAACCGAGATTTACACAGAAATTAGAGAGTTAAAAAATACGTTGTGACGATAAAAGCACGTAAATAATATCTAATATTATGACGGTGTTATTTCGCCCAGCTTTGAGATTATGTAGGTTTCTTTAGAAAGGTGATAACTTATTAAAAACAGTCATGACGACTCTTAGAGCACAGTTTTATCTACGGAGTTTTAAACTTGTGCAGATTCTGATCCTCTAGGTATCTCAGACGAAAGCCTCGCAAACAGCTCTAAGTAGGTGCATGGACTGAAATGTTGTCGTTTACTATAGAGCACTGAAATACATTTAAAAAGGGCATTGTATGGTTTTCCTACCACCTGATTACCCATTCAATAGCCAAAGAAAGCTAACATTTGATTACGGGGGATATTTTAAACATTTAGATCGTTTGCAACTGAGTAAACTTGGCTAGTAAGACCGGATGGTTGGTTAAGTAGGCTACCAACTGTGTCTATTTTTAAAAGATCTTTTCCCGTAAGATTCTTTTGGGGTGAGAGGGTGGTTGGGGGGGGGGGGCTGGGACGTAACATTCTTTTCTCTCTGGCATGTGACAGCAGCATACATGCGATGAAGATTGAACTTGGCGACGAGATACAAAAACTTGTTAAGCAAATCTCAAATCTGAGCACTAAGTTATTAGCCGAACTAAAAGCTCTAAAAACCAGAACCAAGTCGACCGAAGACTCAGTAAACCACATTGTACAACAACTGGGTGAGATAAAAAACCAAGTTTGCGTTTCTGAGGAATCATTGATTTCTCATATGCATGACGCAAGTCGCCAAGATTCTCAATCACAAACAGAACCTAATGAGCGCACGTTCGCCGAAGTTACAGCAAACAACGTTGACTTGCAGACTCTCCATAGGACTGCAACTGAAGAAATCATAGCAGAGCCAAGGGATCAGACTTTCACCGTGAGTACGCACAACAGATTTGCAGTACTTGACCCTCAGTTTCCAGAGAGACAAACACAGGTGTTTAATGAACAATCTACACAACCTGTATCTACAGCTACAGCAGCGATGACGAGAGAACACTCAAACAGTTCTGATGTTCAGCAGGGAAGCCTTTATAACCATGAAGCGCGGAAGGAGACTAGAAAGCAACCAGAGGCGCAAAATGGCCCCATACTCATGATCGGCGACTCCATCTTAAGAGGAATCCAACAAAGAAAATTTTGTCCGCAACGATTTGTCAACAAGCAATATGTACCAGGAGGAACACGAGAAATGAAACAGCATATTGAAGCAATGGTGGATAGGAATGTGTACGATCATATAATTGTTCATTCCGGAACAAACGATGTTGATAAACTCAGAGTAAACGACATAGCTATGAACATGGAAAGCTGCGTAATTACGCTAAAGCGACGATGGCAGAATGCACAAATCGCTTTGTCTGGTCTCACATATGCTCCCAAGGGAGACAACACAAAAATTGATGATATTAATTACTGCTACGAGGCAATCTGCTCGGAGCATAACATCACCTACATTAATAACCAAAGGGTGACGGCTGACACTTTTGGAAACATAGATCCTGAAGTATTCTTTGACGATTTGCATCTCAACAACAAAATAGGGACCAAGAGACTGGTAGCGAACATTAAATCACGCATAGGATTAAGAAGTGGGGGCAACAGGGAACAAGCTAACAGGAGGCAGTATAACTCGTCAAGGTTACAAAATAGAAGATGGAATTCGAGGCAGTACAATTGGGAGTTCCCTCCTTTACAAGCACTAAACGCCCTTGCTGACTACTTTAAAAAGCACCATCCAAGATAAGTGCTTCTTTTCATTTGTTAAATAGTGTTCAGTCGCTTTCCGGAAGGTCTAAGTCTGCGAATTGGATGCTGGAATATCAACGGTTTCAATAGTAAAAGTTTAGGCAATAAATTCCAGCAAAGTGAAGTATTAGGTATAATAAATAAGCATGATATATTTGGGAAAGTAGAAACTCATGCTGACAGCAACTCGGACTTACAAATTCATGATTTTAGGCACTATGTTAAACATAGAGAGAACAGCAAGGGAAAACGTAACTCAGGCGGTATTGCCGTATACATAAGGAAAACGATTATCGGGGGAACCTCATTCGTAATTTCACGCAATAAGAATATACTATGGCTTAAGTTAGATAAATCTTTTTTCGATCTGGACAAGGATCTCTATTTAGGCACTGTTTACATAAGTCCAAACACTTCACAAGTAATCGACCAAGAACTTTTAGACGATATTGAAAGCGAAATTGTAAATTTTACACTCAAAGGTGATGTAATTTTGCAAGGTGACTTTAACGCGCGCACCGGCAGCATGCAAGAATTCGCGGTCCATGACGACGATAATCAATTTCTTGAAATCCCAGAAGACTATGAAATAGATACAGAAAACTATCGCTATTCACAGGACGAAAATACAACTAACAGCAGAGGGAGGATTCTGATTGATCTTTGCACAGCTCTCAGTCTTAGGATCCTGAACGGCAGAGTGGTAGGTGATCTTACAGGGAAAAAAACATGCTTCAAATACAATGGGAGCAGTGTGGTAGATTATGTTATCATTTCCAGTAGAATTCTCAGATATGTTAATTACTTTATTGTCAACGATCTGGAACCCCACCTATCGGACCATTGTTCCCTTTCATTCGCATTAATGCTAAAACACAAAAAAAGGTGCTCCGGCAAACAACCAGACGAGATCACGTTAAGCGAATTTAAGAAATTAGTCTGGGATGATAATGCGAAATACGAATTAAGCCGACTCTTAGAAAGTAGAGAAACAAAAAACAGGCTGAACACAGCACTGAATAACAATAACGTGGACACAATGACTGATCTATTCACACAAAACTTAATTGACGTATGCAAACAAGCAGGCTTGAGATTCATTAACACCACGAGGAAGCATAGTGAAAAACCATGGTTCGACGAGCAATGCAACATAGAAAAAGAGAATCTTAAATCATTGGGTAGGCATATCTCACGAAACCCGAACGTGGAGGAATTGAGATCAAATCTACACAAGAAAAAAAAGGCTTTCAAACACCTGTGCAGAAAAAAGAAACGCCAACATTATAATCGGATAATTAAATGCATTGATCTCAGTAATGGTAAAACTGCGTGGAGACAACTTAGGAAATTATTCAACCTGGGCAAATCCAAAAATATGCAAAAAAATACATCTGAGGACTTAGAGAAGTTTTACAGTTACTTTAAAAAGTTAAACGCACGAAAACAGCAAAACGAAGAGTACATACTAACAAGATCAGAGGCCTTGGGCCCCCTAGATTATGAAATATCTGAACAGGAAACGGTAACTGCTATCGACCTCTTAAAAACTGGAAAGGCCCCGGGAGTAGATAACATTTTATGCGAGCTGCTCAAACATGGCAAAGAGGCCTTAAAAGGGCCTCTCACAATCCTTTTCAATAAAATCCTAACCAGTGGTAGGTACCCTACCCTGTGGAGTCATGGCCTAATTATACCAATCTTCAAAAAAGATGATCCGTCCAACCCAGAGAATTATAGAGGGATTACTCTCTTATCAGCCATGGGAAAGATTTTTACCTCAATAATGAATAGCAGGCTTTGTGACTATCTAATTGAAAAGGGCATAATTACTCCAGAACAATGTGGCTTCCGAAAAAAACATGGTACACAGGACAGTATCTTCATTTTAAAAGCACTAATAGACAAATATGTTAAATCTAAACCCAAGAAATCAAATAACCTTTTATTCACCTGCTTTGTTGACTTTAGTAAAGCATTCGATAGTATCCCCAGAGGGAAACTGTTTCAAAAATTGAAGCTAGCGGGAGTAACGGGGCGCTTCCTTGAGATTTTACATTCAATGTACTCCAATGATAAATCATCTGTGAAAATTGAAAATATGCTAACACCCGCCTTTCGATGCCATACCGGTGTAAAACAAGGTTGCATGCTCTCGCCAACCCTTTTTAACCTTTATCTCAGTGACCTTTCAAAGAAACTTAAGGCCAAGAACCTAAATGACGTAGAACTAAACGAGTTACCGTTAAGTTGTATGCTTTGCGCGGATGACTTGGTCATATTCTCCAAATCAAAAAACGGACTGCAGAATTATTTGGATTCCCTCAGTGAATACTGCAAAGAAAACGACTTGTCGGTTAACCTTAATAAAACTAAGGTGGTAATTTTTAATAACTGCGGGAGAACCATGAATAAGCACGTATTATACTATAGAGGCAGTAAACTTGACAATGTTAGCAATTACAAATATCTTGGCCTACAATTTAGTACTTATGGGACCTTCACGTACGCTAAACAGGAAATAAAGAAGGTTGCCCTTAAAGCTTTGTACAAACTCAGGAAGGAAATGGGCGACCATTTCAGAGACGATGTACAGCTCACAATGAAAATTTTTGACACGGTTAGTTCCCCAATACTCACCTACGGAAGCGAGGTCTGGGGGGTCGATCACGACGGAAAGCTAGAAAATGATCCAATTGAGTTTGTTCAAACAAAGTTCATAAGGTGGCTATTGGGAGTTAACAAATTCTGTAGCTCAAATGCGTGCAGATCGGAGGTAGGCCGTTTCCCAATGCGAACGAAGACAAAGTGCAGAGCCATTAAATATTGGCTGAAATTTTGTGAGCCGGAGCACCAAAATAAACTCTCTGGAATAGCATTTACAGACCAAATTGGTCAAGATAAAAAGGAACTTTGGTCAAGCAAATTAAAACGACTATTAAACCTCGCAGGTCTTGGCGACATATGGTCAGCGAAAACTAACACTCCCGCAATCATGAACTATATACGACAGAGACTCTTAGACATAGAACAGCAAACATGGATTAGCGAAATACACAATGATGAACGAAAGGACCCGCATCAAAAAAACAAACTAAGAACTTTTAGGAAATTTAAACTTACCCATGACTACGAAAATTACCTCACAAATGTAAGAAACATCAATCATAGAGTAGCAATCACAAAGCTAAGATTAAGCAACCACAAACTAGCAATTGAAACTGGACGATACGTTAAACCCTATCAACCACCAGACCAAAGAATCTGTCCATTATGTAAAACTGGATTAGAAGACGAGGAGCATTTTTTGATGAATTGCATAGCCTATAGGGATCCTAGGAGAGAGCTGTTCAATACGCTAAAAAAGGAAACTAATCTTATTCTTGACTCTATGACTCCAAGCTCTGCCTTTACAACGTTGATAAGTATGAAGCAAGGAGAGAAAACGCAAAAAATTGTGGCTAAATACGTATATGATCGCTTCCGTGAAAGAGATAGACGCGTTAAATATAACCTTGTTTAATAGTTGTATAAATTTTACAAATGTACACGTCTGTAATTATTGCACGAAAATCTTTGTTATCATTGTAAACACATGTGTCTGTAGGCGCTCTGTTGATAATAAAGCACTTATCCTTATCCTATCTCATCTCACACTCGAGGTAAAAAAAAAGGTCGGTACTCGTGACCATGCATTTCATCAAAGATATGTGCGAATTTTTGCCTGAGGCCAGCAAATATCTTAAAATTCCGAAAATCAGCCCCTGGACTCACATTTTTCAAAGGCCCTTTTTGAGCGCCTTATAGTCGGAGGGGCTTATGTACGGAGGGAAATTTGCGTTTCAAAATCGATTGGGCTAGCCTTATGGTTGGAGGTAAATTTACCGTTTCTGTCTGTTTTACTCAATGTATTTGAGGGCAATTTCCAAGTACAAGCCCCCAGGGGGGATTATATTTGAAGGGGCGATTTAACGGAGGGTTTTTTGCGTTATGATTTTGGGGGGCTTATACATGGAGGAGATTATTTTCGGAATTTTACGGTACGTTGGTTTGGTCTAGAGGGAGACGTTTTCCCTCAATTCATAACTAAACTCTTTCTGTTTCTGGATGACTGAAAACCACCTGCCGTTTCTACTTCAAAATTGCATCAGTAGTTTCATATAATTTTGTTCCATTTGACTGACGCACCTCAACACTTACAAAGCTCGACCTATCGCGTCTCGGTTCAAATGAAAATATATTCAAATTACGGTGTGATGATGCGGACGTCACATTTAAATTTGTGAATTCCGGTCTCTGTTAAGAAACAGTTAAAATTTTTAATAAGTGGATATTTCGGATGTTATAAGTACGACTTGGGAAATTTCGACACTATTGTCGCCGAAGTCTCAAAAGTTCTCGGCACCTTTGCCATCGAAGGAAGAATGGCGGAACACTGAGAACTCAGTCTTGGGACTGTTCAATGTCTGGCGACGAATCATTTACAGTTCCAGTCTCATTTAAAGAAGAAAAAAGTTGGAGAGCTCTTCAAACGTTCTCTACAAAAACAGAAACTTAAGACTGTACTTAAAGCTTCTTTATAATCATGACGGAAGCTGAAGGTTTTCGAGAAAGTTTGCATCCGACTGCCATCGTGTTGAATGTCATAACGATACAAGCGCTCCGAAAAACGCCGTCGTTGTCGAGGACTTTGAAAACATTGCTACTAAACTTGAGTATTTCTGATCTGGGTGTAGGCTTACTTGTCCAACCACTCTATGTTGCATCTCTTGTGATGGAAAATGAACAAAACACTAACAACATTGCTTTTTATGTAGTGCGTAAAGCACATATAATCCAGAGACAAATATTCGTCTCTGTTTCGTTTTTAAGTGTTTTCGTGTTAACTGTTGACAGATTCTTGGCAATCCATCTTCATCTCAGATACCAGGAACTTGTTACTCACAAGCGGGTTGTTGCTGTAGTAGTTAGTGCTTGGGCGTTTAGAGCATCAATTACTTTCCTTCGTCAGTTTTATTTAACCATGGGTTCTTTACCTGCAATCATTGTAGTTGTTTGTATCATAACTACAGGATTGCTTTATTGCAAAATATACGCAGCCGTGAGACACCACACAAATCAGATTCACGTTCTGCAAGTACAACAAGTAGCACAGAATGGAGAAATGCCAAATGCAGCGAGACAGAAAAATGGCAGTTGCTACATTTTACGTGTATGTGGTGTATTTAGTTTGCTACTTGCCAGTAGCTTGTATTGTTTTTGCTAAGACCAATGGTGAAACTGTCTTGTTATCACGTTTAGAGTATTTCACATTGACTCTTGGGTATCTTAATTCATCTCTCAATCCCTTGATCTACTGTTGGAAGATGAGACACATTCGACAAACTGTTATGGTAATACTTCGAAACATCTTTCCGAGAGGTTAAAAAACAAGGCTTTGCAGTTTAGATGACTGCCCTGCTTTGCTTGCTATTCATGCGGGCTGATGGAAAAACAACACTAAATATAATAAGGACCTAGAATGGAAGCTCTAAGACTATCTGTTTAAAAGTTAACAGGATAACAATGACTTAGTGTAAGTAAATTATATTTTTGCTTTGGAAAAATTGTAGCAAATTAAGAAAGCTCTAGCCCCAGTTGTTCAAAAGCTGGATAGCGCTTTCCACCGGATAAATTTCTATCCAGTAGTAACTATCCAGTGGATAAGTATTACGGAAACTAACTGAGTTTAATATCCAGTGGAAAGAGATTTATCCGGCGGATAGACCTATCCACCTTAGAACAACTGAGGCCTGAAATAAATTTCATCAAACTCGGAAAGAGTGTAGAAAAGTCAAGTGGCTTTCATTAAATGAGTGACCTTTTTCAAATGAGTGGCCTTTTTTATTGCGATATATACGCGCGCAGTCGTTCGGCACAATGCAAATCAGATACTCGGGCCTGCAAGCGCAACAAGTAGAGCCAATGGAGAAATAGCAGGGTTATAGCTGAGTGGTTGTTCGAAAATGATGCGTCTCGGAAAGTACCAGCCGAGTCTCGAAATCTCGACATTCGAGATAAGAGTCTAAGTCCCCGATTATATGGAGAAAAGTTGTCCTGGGAAAGAGGGTCACCCTCCCAGAGGATTCAACCAGTTATATGAGAAAAAAGTTGACCCTCTGCTTGAGCCAAGAGCTGACAATAGCGCTCGCCTGTACTCTGATTGTGTCACCTTGACCGACTTGACCCGGCTGGGCGAGCAAAAATGTTTATCCTGGAAAGCTTTGTACCTGGGCACCCTTTAAAACAAAGGAAGGGTCAAATGAACCCTCACTGAAATCAGAAAGTATTACCAAAGATACTTAGATATAAAGAGATAAATATTGGCCAATGTAAGAAACCTTGAAAAAATGTCAATGACATGACTCCATTATCAAGAAAAGACATTTTGACACTGAGTTTAGAGACTTGGAACATAGTGATAACGCTGCTTAGCTTGATTTGCCCAGGCAATTACAACTGATATCAACTCAAGGGTTAGGTCTGGAAATGGGTATCGACAGAATTTGATTTTGTGAAAGTTAACAAAAAGAGGCGAGTCCAAAGAATTTAAAAGTTACAAAGAAAAATGCATTTTCTCCAGAGTTTCCAGCAACTTAAATGTTGGAGTTTGTTGACCTATTTTTCCCGTTGGTGGTTGCTGGTTACGAGTCTAGTGACCGCATGTCTGAGTCACTGTTCCACACACTTTTTGTCAGTTAACATGCTATGGCAGCTTTTCAGTAATTTCTTTCGACCACATTTAACCAAAGATATTCTTTTTTATCTGCTCAAATTCGTAATTACGACGAACCATTTATTTAACAAAACTTAATAAAGCTAACATTGTATTTGAACAAATTTCAAATAAAACAGCTTTGAGATAGTTTCGAAGTTGATAATAGCTGTAAATTAAGAAACATATATCGCTTCTTATCAACATCATTTTATAATTACCGATCTACCTCTCTGTTTACCAGTTTTATATACTAGATATATTATGGCTACTTTATTTTATTTCTAACCTGATGATTTGCTGAATAACAACCTAGTTCGCCTTTGTTCTCAACCTCTTTTTTCACCATTTTTTACATTTTCAATAAACACATAGCTACTAGTTGACAGAGAACTGTCATGAATAAAACTTAGTCCAATTCGCCGTCTTTAGTTTTGATTAAATTTCTTCCTTTTCACCTGGTAAACTGTTTATTTTAGATGCTTATAAGAGGTCGACCTATTGTTTAAGCTTAAAAGAAAATATATTCAAATTTGTGTTTGATGAACCTGACATCATATGAATTTCCAGTTTTGTATTAAGAACCACAGTCTTGATTGAAAACGACTAGATATTCCACATCCTTGGCTTGATCGAATATAACGTTCTTATACATGATTGCAAGAAGGAAGAACCAAAGTCGAAACTGGGCTTTTAGTCCAATGATCATTATACTAGAGGGGGAAGCGTAGTGGAACATATTGCGAACTTCTGGAGATTCATAATTCATTTGGTCTCCCCGGTGAAGAATATTTCATAGTCAGTCTCGTTCGAACACAGAAAATACCTCCAGATCCCAGTTAAGTTATTTGCAGTTATAGAACTTAATCAACTCAGTCAACTGAACACTGCTCAGGGTCCACAGTGCAAGAGATGGCAAGTGCTTGGCCTGGCTTGCATTCTACTCTTGTCATTAACTGCGTCTTCAATGCTTTCTTGTCTTCCACTACCATTGTTTTAAACATCATTACAATACAAGCGCTCAGAAAAACTTCGTCATTGTCGAAGACTTTAAAAGCATTGCTACTAAGCCTGGCTGTTTCTGATCTGGGTGTGGGCTTACTTGTCCAACCACTGTATGTTGCAACTCTCGTGATGAAAATAGAACAGAACTCCAACAACACCGCTTATTATACAATTAACAAAGCCCATGCGATCCCCAAAAAGTTACTGGTCTTGGCTTCGCATCTTGGTGTTTTCGCGTTAACTGTTGACAGATTCTTAGCAGTCCATCTTCATCTCAGATACCAGGAACTTGTGACTTACAAACGTGTTATTGCTGTAGTGAGTTCAGTCTGGGTGTTCAGTGCATCAATTACCTTACTACGTCAGCTGTATTCGGCTGTGGATTCACATATTATGCCAGCAGTCATTGTAGTTGTTTGTATCATAACTACAGGATTGCTTTATTGCAAAATATACGCAGCCGTGAGACACCACACAAATCAGATTAACGCTCTGCAAGTACGACAAGTAGCACAGAATAAAGAAATGGCAGATTGAGCGAGGCAGAGAAAAATGGCACTTGCTACATTTTACGTGTATGTGGTGCTTTCAGTTTGCTATCTCCCGATATCTTGTGTTGTTTTTGCCAAGATCAATGGTGAAACTGCCTTGTTATATCATTTAGAGTATTACACATTGACTCTTGTGTATCTCAACTCATCCCTCAATCCCTTGATTTACTGTTGGAAGATGAGACACATTCGGCAAACTGTTATGGAAATACTGCGAAATATTTTTGCGATTGGTTCTCACTAAAGATAGGATCTACGTCAGAAAAATACAGATGGAAAAATGACACTTAAAATATAAAAGGAACCTAAGACTTCTTGGACCTTCTGTTTAAAAGCCTCAGAGATATGATCGAGTATGATAAGTTCATGGTATTTTTGTTTGGAATAATTAACAGATTAAGGAAACTCTGAAATATTAATATGTAGCAAAGTAAGATAGAGGGTAAAAGTGCTAAGCGAATTAGGATGAATGATTGTGACTTGATATATAGAATAATAAATAGCTAGTGGGCTGAGTTTTCTAAATTTCTTGGGCAAAAAGATCAGTGCACAGTTCAGATCAGTTAAGGGTCTTTAAAAGTTTAATGGATTTTGTTAACCATAGTGCATGCAATCAACATAAAACGAAACAATAAAAGAGAGTGGAAAGAGCAAAACTACATCAATAAATCTTCCACACCGAGAGTGATAAAAAGACCAACCGTTATTATATAAGCAGGGGCACCCAGCGACTTTTTTCTGTAAAATACGAAGGAGCAAATATTGCCTAGAAACTTCTAAAGCTCGTGAAAAGCCAAAACGTTCTGAGTAGCTTAACTGCGACTTTCGGAGGTTGTGTTAGTCGCATTTTAGTACCAAGATATTGCGATTATTTTTAAAAAAAGGTCTCCTAAAACTTTCGGTGCAACGACAAAACGTCCCCTGAAATTTTCGAATGAAAGCAAGGCTACTTCATGTCCTCGTACTTTCGACCGGACGCACAAGGGTAGCCAACACATACTTTCGGATGAGACGAAAAAGCCACCTAAAACTTTCGTGATGACCAAAGTTCGCCTAAGACATTCGAACAGAAAAGAAATAGTTTTTAGGGCAACTCCAAATTATCCCAACAGGCTTCTAAAGCACAACGAAAACCATTTGATACACTTCTGGCGTATTTGGAAACATCTGGTCGTTGGGTGTTCCTGTATAATAATAATAATAATAATAATAATAAAAAAACAACAACAACCCTTGGTGTTCATAGCTACTTTCGTATTGCACTCCGATAACCTCTATTTGCATTCTATAAGCCATTTATGCATTCCTCATCGACCAATCAGAAAACTCATATTTTGTTGCGTATATAAGAATAATAAAAGTAATAATAATAATAATAACAATAATAATAATAATACAACCTTTTTTGAGAAGGAAGGAAACTAGTGGTAACAAATATAGTTGAAAATATATTACAATACTTGAAATTAATTCATATCAATAATAAAAGTTCCTGTACAAAATTATGAAAATGTTATAAAGAATGGTAAAAATGCACCGTTCAATCATGTTTCTTAATTTGTCTAGTCAAGAAATATCTCAGTAATAAGATCGTGCAGCTTTTAAAATTTTGGACTGGGAGAAATTTAAAACTTCCTTCCACAGCTAAGGACACCGATTGGAGTAAATGATGGCTAATTGAAATCATAATACCGTTTAAAACATCATAATATCTGCTTCCTCCGCAGACGCTTCATTTTCTTTGCAAACGTCGATAAAATGACTCCATTATGAAGCAAAGAGCTTCTTGCACTGAGATTAGGGACTGAGAACCAAAAGGTTTGAGGATGCAATTAAGTAACTGAAGTCTAGGATTGACGGACCTAAGAACACAGGTTGATTTGTTCAAGTTGAGCGTCTTGTAAGCAACTATCGATACGTGCGTAAGAGGAATTTAAAATAACGCTGAAACTTTACAAAAGACCGTATTTAATATTTTGATAGGAATTTAGTAAGATGATCGCTAAATAAAAATGATGATGAAGACGCTTATGTGCACTGGCCGAGTATAAAGCAGGGGTTAGTCCCTATACGAGGCTATCTTTTTAGAGTAAGGTGTTGTCGACTGAATTAATTTATATTTTTATAAAACAGGTGGGGAGGAGGAGAATTGCTTTCTTTACACAGGTTGAAAACTAAGAGGTTGGGGGAAGAGTTAAAGTGATTCCAAAAAATTAACAATAAACAAATTAACAATAAACAAATATAGAATTTTAAACAAATCGATATTTTTACCCGGTTGTTAAACTAAAATGTGTATTCTCCTACACACTGTTTTCCCGTTAGCTGGTTAGAAGCGCTATTTCATAATCATGACAGTTTCTCAACAATTTTTGTCTCAATCAGAGGGAGGAACAGTATTCTCTTGATTATTTCGACTACGCATTAAATTGCGAGCAATGAGGACTGACTTTCCTCAATATTACTAAATAAATCCTGAAGAAACTGGAGTTAATATGACTTAGGGTTCGTTAGTTGCATCAGATGAGTTTAATTACCACGACCCATTAAGTTATTAAGTTAATAAACCATAGTACAGTCCACCACCGATAATTCGAACCTTCAAGGGAAATAGAAAAAAGTTCGAGTTATCGGGAGTTCGAGTTATCGAGGGTAAAATTATATGGGAAATGATCTGAAGGGAACTGAAAATTGCTTTGAGTTAACGGAAGGTTCGAGTTATAGAGGGTTCGAGTTACTGGGAGTCTACTGTATTTAACGTGTCTTTGTTTTGAAACCTAAGCTAAGAAAGTTTTTTTTTATGAGTAATAAGTTTCTTCTCTCAACTCCTCAGACTCGTCTTAGATCACAGTTAATCAAAAGGTGTAGATATTTTTTGCTTTGGTCCGGCAAACATGTTGGATCAGGGTCTCCGACCTAATAGTCCGTACTTCCTCTAAACCATCGCTAAACTTAGTTTCTGTTTAACTGTGTATTTACGATTCACTGCAAACCAGCTGCCGTTTCTACTTTAATATCGCGTCAGTAGTTTCAAATAACTTTCTTCCATTTGACTAACGAACTTCGACAATTACAAGCTCGACCTATCGCGTTTCGGCTAAAAGGAAAATGAATTCAAATTTCTGAGTGATCAGGACGTCATATTCATATTCTGAATCCCTTGCTGGTGAGATTTCAGATGTTATGAGCACAACTTAAGGACTTTTTTACTATTGACGCGGAAAAATCAACAGCTCACTTAAACCCAACTGCCATCGAAGGAAGAACAATGGAACACTGAAAACTTTTTGGGAATGTTCAGAGCGAAGAATTATTGACAGTGTCAGCCTTACTCAAAAAAGAAAACATTTTCAAAGCTCTTCAAAAGTTCTATACAAAACAGATGGCAATCGCTAACGGTTTGTATACGGTTCTTGTCGTTAACTGCGTCATCAACGCTATCTTGTCTTTCACTGCCATCGTGTTAAACATCATAACAATACAAGCGCTCAGGAAAACTTCGTCGTTGTCGAAGACTTTGAAAACATTGCTACTAAGCCTTGCTATTTCTGATGTGGGTGTTGGCTTAGTTGCCCAGCCACTGTATGCTGCAAGTCTTGCGATGAAGATAGAACAAAACACGAACAACATTGCTTTTCATACAGTAGAGAAAGCTTATTTAATCCCGACCAAATTATTTGGTTTTGCTTCGTATTTTGGTGTTGTCTTGTTAACTGTTGACAGGTTCTTGGCAATCCATCTCCATCTCAGATATCAGGAACTTGTGACTTACAAACGTGTTGTTGTCGTAGTGATTTCAGTCTGGTTAAGTGCATTAATTAGCTTCCTCAGTTTGAGTATGGGTCCAGTGGCTTTGTCCATTGTATTAGGAACCATTTTAGTTGTATGTGTCGTAATTACAGGGATACTTTATTGCAAGATATACGCAGCAGTGAGATATCACACAAATCAAATGCACGCTTTGCAGGTACAGCAAGTAGCACAGAACGAAGACATGGCGAATGCTGCAAGGCAGATAAAAACTGCACTTGCTACTTTCTACGTTTATGTGGTGTTTTTAGCTTGCTATTTGCCAATATCCTGTGTTCAGCTTGCCATGATCAGTGGTGAAACTGCCTTGCTATCTTACTTATGCTATTTTACATTGACTCTTGTGTATCTAAATTCATCTCTCAATCCCTTGATCTACTGTTGGAAGATGAGACACATTCGACAAACTGTTATGGAAATACTTCGAAATATTCTGACGATTGGTCAGCATTAAAAAAATAATATAACTCAGAATGACTCGCCTTTTTCCTCCGATGAAATAAAAGCTTGCCAGCAATACAGTGGGAATTGACACTTAACACATAAACCGGACCTGAAACATCTTGCAGTTTCTGTTTAAAAACTAAAGATATATATACATGTATATGATCGGGTATAAATTCATGAGATTTGACATCAGTTTCCTTTGGAATAATAAACAGATAAGGGAAGCTCTCAAACAAAATTTCTCAAAGCCTGGGAGAGGGTAAAATGCTAAGTGGCTTATTATGAATATGTGACTTTAAATTAATACATAGAGGGCCAAGGTTAATTTTCCAAATTTCGTGGGAAAAAAGGTTTGTGTACAGTAAAGGGTGTTAAAACGTCTACTAGACTCTGCTAACCACAGGGCATGCAATCAACAGGGGCACCCAACAACAAGGTATGTGAAAGGGATACCATGTGTCAATAAAAGGGGTAGGTGTTTTGCCATAGTTTCAGAGTAAGAACTTTTTGAAACTACAAGAATATTCTAGTGTTGATGATTCTGAAAGTCCAATCTTTTTATAGTAAGGTGATGATGACTTAAATATCAGGGCTGGAAAGGGGTATCAACAAAATTTTATAAAAACACCTATCTAAACAGTTGGGAGGGGGGGGGGGCAATTGCTTTCTAACTAAGAGGGTGGAGGAAGAGTTAGAGTGGTTCCAAAAGAGGTAATTAAGTAAACAACCGGAAATATGTAAAAGAACAGACGAATTAGCAATAAAGAAAAAAATTACGTGTAATACAAATAGTTATTTTTCCTCGATTGTTAAACTAAAAGGTGTATTCTGCTACACATTGTTTTCCTGTTAGTTGGTTAGGAGCCCTATTTCATAATCATGACAGTTTCTCAACAATATATGTTGCAATGGAGGGAGGAACAGTATCCTCTTGTTTAATTCGACTACGCATTAAAGTGCGAGAGATAATAACATGGCTGACTTTCCTTAATATTACTCAAAAAACTGAAGAAACTGGAGTTAATATGACTTAGGTTTCGTTAGTTGCTTAATAAAGTATAGTATATTGTTTTGGAATACATTTCAATAAAATGAAATTGAAACATTGAAACGAGTTGATTGCAGTTTTTAGGGCATATATTGCTTTTTTGCAACATGATTACTCATCCAACTGCTGTACGTCGTGTTGGCTGGCTTCATTAAGCTGTGACTACGAAGGGTATCAGTTATTTAACATTCGGATCATTTGCAACTGACGAAGCTTTGACACATATGACAGCATGATTTGTTAAGCTAGGAAAGTTTTTTATGAGTAATAAGTTTCTTCTCTCAACTCCTCAGACTCGTCTTAGATCACAGTTAATCAAAAGGTGTGGATATTTCTTGCTTTGGTCCGGCAAATATGTTCGATTGGTCTCAGTCCTAATAGTCCGCATTTCCTCTAAACCATCGCTAACTTTTTTCTGTTTGACGGAACAACTTTACGTTGGGTTTACATGCGGAAATTTCAGTCCGTGTGGTGCCCAAATATGGACGGTTCGAGAAGGAATTAATAATGGCGGGAGACAAAAACAAACACGCAGCTTGGGCCCTTCCGCTCTTTTTACGGGCGCCAATAATTACCTTTCTGCAGAATTATGACAGCAATACGCTCGTGGTAACGCTAAACGAAATGGCCTGTTTTGTGCCTAGTACTAGGATCGTGCTAGTAAAGGCAGTTTACATGGAGCTAGGATCTTCCTACCTGTTAGCTAAGAAGATCCAACCGCTAGGGACAAGTACAACCCATATGGCGAGAGAGGAAGATCCTAGTACCAGGAACATCCTAGAAAGCGGATCATCCTAGCGCCATATGTTTTGTGTATTCGGTTTACATGCGCTAGGATCTTCCTAGCTGAGAGGTAGGAACATCCTAGCACTAAGAAGATCCTAGTACTAGGGACAAACCACACAAATATGGCGTCGGATCGCCTGTTCAGTGGGTAATCTTTAATTTTTAATTCCTTCTCTACTGTTAACCTCACGGACTGAAATTTTTGCATGTAAACGCAACCAAAAGTTGTTTCGCCTTCTAGGATCTTCCTAATACTGAGATCTTCCTCCCGTCATGTAAACAGGTCCTTAGACAAGAAAAGCGTTCTAATAAGACTGACAAGGCTTAATCTTGGGTGAAACTTAACCATCTTTCGAGGAACCCGGGGCCCAGTTTAGAACGAGAGGTTCCTTGACCTCCATTCATGATGACAGTATTGTAGCCATGATCAGCTGGAAAGAAAATTACTCATTGCGAGCTGGAAAAATTGTTGCAGTGAGTCCAAGCAAGTAAAGAAGAAATAAGTAATTCTACTTTTTACGGTTCCCAACTGCTTGTAATCATTTGCTATTCTGTTTACTTATCACCCATTCCCCGTAGGAAATGTTTTCTCGTTCAGCGAGGTTATTTAACAGCTGACACTTGATTTTTCCGCTAATTCCCTCGCTACGATCACTCGCTCCTGTTCCCCAGTCATTAGGCTTTTTCCCTGAAACTGTCAATTTGCATCGGCCTTCTTTGAATTAACACTTAATTTTGCCCCTTTTTATATCTGCAACTTTGCGATAATTATGATCCTTAAGCTGTTTTCTGATATCAGGCGAGACTGAAACTTGCAGATGCGTTCAGTTGACTATGTTAATATGGCTTTGAGGTTATCGAATTGTCGCGGACGATTGATTAAGAAAAACTTAACTTTGGGTGAATAAAACACGGGATATTCAATATTAAACATTCTAATCATTTGCGACTGATTACACTTTGTCTTATTAGAATGGAAATTTGTTCAAAAATAGTTTACAACGCATTTCTCAACCCCTTTTCTCGTTCAGTTTTTATTTTCGGGAAAGGTGGTACTCTCTATGCGTATTTCCGACGAAATCGAAGTCGCGACCATCGCTATTGATAAAACAACGATCTTAGAGATTAGACGATCGCATTGCCACTCCGATGAAGTTTGACCACGTTAGTCTTTCGATGACGGCAAAGAAATCTGCCAAAAAGTGTACTGCATGTTCAAAGTTTTGTTTGCTCATTAATTTTGCTTTTTGTATTTTCTCGTTTCCCTCGTTGTCCTTGTCGTGGTTGCTCAACCTCGCAAAACCATTCTCGATATAAGACCATTTCGTTGAAAAACCGCCGATTTGATGAAAAACGCGTGATTAAAGCGACGTCCCCAGGTACCCATGAGACACTCAAAGGTCTTTCTTTAAAGACCTGTATCAAAAAAAAACAAAAAACGCTTTCTAATAATTAGCTCTTAGCGAGTTAATCGTCTCTTTCGCTACAAAAGTATTTCGTTTTATTCTTTTTCAGCCTTTACACATTTTCGACTTCGAGCAGCTGCTACATTGCTCTGCCGGGAAGACTACACCGCTGTAAATGGACTCAAGATACGTCAGTAACGTTGAAATTAATATTGTCTTCTCCAATTTGACTGACTTTTTAACACCCTTAAAAATGGACCTATCGTTATTCTTAACAGGAAAACATATTCACATTTTTGTATGATGAGCACGTCACATTTAAATTTTCCTCTCTCTGTTAAGAGCGAAACAAGTTCATATTTCAGTACAGCGATTACCCTGAGTGGACTCAAACTAATTTTTACACGGTTGCAAACAAACAAAAGGGCGGAAGACGACAGTATTAGTTAGCTACGGTCAATAATTAGAGAAACCGTAGGGAAACATATCGCTGGTGAAATTCTAGAGACTGTTCCGTTAGTGAAGCGAAGAAGCATTTCCTCAGAAACACCTGCAAGACCCTTTAACGTTGTATTCTACCACAGAACCTAAAAGCTCTTTATTAGCACTTTATACAATGACGGAAGCTAAAGGTTTGCATTCAACGCTTGTCGTTAACTGCGTCTTAAACTCTTTCCTATCTTCGACCGCCATTCTGTTGAACATCATAACGATACAAGCGCTGAGAAAAACGCCGTCGTTGTCGAAACCTTTAAAAACATTGCTCCTGAGTCTGGCTGTTTCTGATCTGGGTGTTGGCTTTCTGGTTCAACCCACTTATGTTGCAGTTCTTGTAATGAAAATGAAACAAAACGCTGACAACGGGACTTATTACACTATATTTGACGCATTCTACGAAGTCCAGAACTTTTTATTTGTTTTTGCTTCGTTTTTTGGTGTTTTCGCTTTAACTGTTGACAGATTCTTGGCGATTCATCTTCATCTCAGATACCAGGAACTTGTGACTCACAAGCGGGTTGTTGCTGTAGTGAGCTCAGTCTGGGTTTTAAGTACCTTAATTGCCTTGCTTGCTTTGAAATGGATACAGGTTCTCGGCTTTATCTTCGCAACCATTAATGTTGTGTGTTACATAACTACAGGCCTTTTTTATTGCAAGATATACGCTGTCATTCGGCACCACGCAAACCAGATAAACGCTCTGCAACAATCAGCACAGAATGAAGACATGGCGAATGCTGCAAGGCTGAGAAAAACTGCAGTTGCTACATTTTATGTGTATTTGGTGTTTTTAGTTTGCTATTTACCAAGATTTTGTACTGGTGTTGCAAGAATCCATGGTGAAACTCCCTTGTTATTACTTTTATCGGAGTTTAGTTATACCTTTGTGTATCTGAATTCATCTCTCAATCCGCTGATCTACTGTTGGAAGATGAGAAATATTCGTCAAACTGTCAAGAACATACTACAAAGCATCTTTCCCTGTGGTGCCTAAATAGAAGCTATATCTCAGAACAATTCTACTCTTTCTCAGAGGAAAAAAAAACCCTTATTAACGGCAATAAAGTTTTTAAAAACATGACGTACTAAAACTTGTGATGCTATCTGTGCGGGATTACTTTTTCTTCTACAGACCTTGAAAATTTAAAGATCATACAAGAGATGGCAAAAAATGTATCTTTATCGGAATACCTTGGATTATTTGTTGTAAGTAATCTAGCAGTTCTTGATCAAGTACAGTTGCAATATATTGCAATGAATAGAATCAATTTATATCATTGAAGTTACCAAAAAATGTTGAAAGTGTTATTAAAAATACTGAAACACTTATTTTTGAGTCTTTCATTTCTTACTTTTCTGCTTTCTGAGTACAGAAATTGCTTATGTATTAGATCATCCCTGAAACTTCGGTTTCGGCCTGGGAGGGGCGACAAACGTTGTTCAGGGGGACTCATTGAAACAGAGATCCTTAAATGAAATCATAATACCAGAAATACTTAGATAATTATATAGAGATAAACAAGGCCGGGCTATGAGATCTTAAATGGAAATGTCAGTCAATGGCATGGCTCCAATCAGTGAAGCAAAGACATGTCAACTACAGCAAGAGCAACAACAACGAAGAAAGAGGAATGCATTTTCTCCACAGCTTCCATCATCTCACAAATTTCAGTTCACGCTGTTTTTCCAGCTGGTGGTTACTGATTACGAGTCATTGACTGCATGTATGAGTAGCTAGTCTCTGTTATTTACATCCTACTTTTTCAAGTTAACATGACAGCTTTCCTATAATTTCACTTGACCATATTTTAATCAAAGACTCTCCTTTTTATTTGATGCGCCAGTCTTAAAAGGCCCATTATTAGGACGAACCATTAAGTGAACCTGACCAACCTTAATAAGGCTGATATTGTTTTTGAACACATTTCAAATACTGAAATCAACTATGAAATTTATCAAAGCTAACTGTAAATAAGAAACATATCGCTTTTTATCAACGTTATTTACTCATCAGTAAAATGACATGTCGTGTTGGCTGATTTTTTAAAAGCCGGATTTATTAAAAGATATTCATTTTTAAACATTCTCATCATTTGCCACTGATTTAGGCATCGACTAGACTGATTATTTGGTAAAATAACAACGTAATACGCCTTTGCTTTCGACCTCTTTTATTTCAACGTTTTTAAAAGTTTTCGATAAACACATGGCTGCCCACTTAAATATTGACAGTGAACTGCTCACTGTGAAGTTAAATCCAATTGCGTCGTCAGTATGAAGTTCTAATAACTTTCTTCCCTTTCACCTGGTAAACTTAATTGCTTATAAATGATCGACCTATCGTTTGAGTTTAAAGAGAAAAAAATTCAAATTTTTGTTTGATAATGACATCACATGAATTTGTTTTAAGACCGACAGCTTTTATTGAAAACTATTACATATTTCAGATCTTATACGAGTGAACTCAAAGCTTCTTAGAACTGCAAACAGGAAAACAAAAGCTATCCGGCATGCATGGAGAGAGTCGGAGGAAGTAGAGGAACAATTCGCGAACCTCTGAAGATTGTTCTGTCGTGGAGAATTTTCAGCGTTAGTCTCACTCAGAAACGGATGACATCTCAAAACCAGTTAAATTCTTTACATATTGTAGAAACCAAGCACTGATCACTGAGGGTTATGTACAAAAGATGGCAAGTACTAAAGGCTTGTATCCGACTCTTGTTGCTAACGCCGTCATTAACGCTTTGTTGTCTCCCGCCTCCGTCGTGCTGAACATCATAACTGTACAAGCGCTTAGAAAAACGCCGTCGATACCAACGACTTTAAAAACATTGCTACTAAGCCTGGCTGTTTCTGATCTGGGTGTGGGCTTGCTTGTCCAACCAATGTATGTTGCAAGACTTGTGATGGAAATAAAACAACACAGTGACAACATTGTTTATCATGGCGTAGATATCGCATTGACCGTTCAAGCCAATATATTGTCCTTTGCTTCGTATATTGGTATCGTCGCTTTAACTGTTGACAGATTCTTGGCGATTCATCTTCATCTCAGATACCAGGAACTTGTGACTCACAAGCGTGTTGTTGCTGTAGTAAGCTCAGTCTGGGTGTCAAGTGGAGTAATTGCCTTGCTCGGTCAGTTCTCTTCGCGTCTAATTTTGTCAGCTTTCCAAGGCACCATTACAACTATCTGTTTCATAATCACAGGAATATTTTACTGCAAGATATACACAGCTGTGAGACACCACTCAAATCAAATCCATGCCCTTCAAGCAACACAGAATGAAGACATGGTGAATGCCGCAAGGGTGCAAAAATCTGCACTTGCTACATTCTATGTTTATGTGGTGTTTTTAGTTTGCTATTTGCCAATTAGTTGTGCTGGTATTGCCAAGACCATTGCTGAAACTACCTTTGTATCTCATTTATGGTATTTTACATTCACTCTTGTGTTTCTCAACTCATCCCTCAATCCCTTGATCTACTGCTGGAAGATGAGACACATTCGACAAACTGTTATGGATATACTTCAAAACATCTTTCCATGAGGTCCCCAAAGAAATTAAGGCTCTATTAACTCTGCCTGTTTTGCTTTAATGAAAACAAAAGCTTGTTAGCAATGCAGTTGGAAAAATGACGCTAAATATAAACTGGACCTGAAACCTTTCAAAACAATCTGTTTGGAAGCCAAATTTGTATTTATGACCGAGTATCAGGGGCACCCAACGAGAATTAGTTCAAAACCACTTAAACATAGAATTGTTAAACGTATTTTAGTATTTAAACGGTAGATATAGGTATATTTTTATCCCCTAGAAATTTTTCATCTGTTCGGATTTCCTAGCTGAAAGTCAAGTGATACGAAAATTATAGGATCAAAACTTACCTTTTCGAAAATTTTAGCCAGAAAAAAGGCTCCCGAAAATTCTAGGTGACCTTTTTAGGGTAAAAATCCGTTAACAATAGGCAATTATACCATTTTTCAGATGTCCGAAAATCCTAGGAGAGGCAGGCAAGCAAGAAATTGTATAACAAATGTTCCGAAAATTCTAGATCTCAAATCGTCTTCCGAACAGATATTTTTCCGAAAGTGCTCGTTGGGTGCCCCTAGAGTATTTGAACATTGTATTTGCGCCTGATTTGGCGCAAACTCTTGCGAAAGATTGAAAGTTTTGTGAAGACTCAGAAATGAAAACTCAGAGAGGTAGACGAGTGCCTGAGTGCAAAAATGCGGGGTGGTTTCCGTCGAACAATTATTGACTTTAAATTAAAAAGAGAGCCGAATTTTTAGAATTCATTTGTTGTAAATTAAGGTGGCCCGAACCTATTTATATGGGCGTTGGTTATGTTTTAAAATCGCGTTTTTCGGCAGAAAAGATTTAGCCGATTTCTTTGATTTTTAGTATCCTTAATAAACAATGGTCGAACTTTAAGAAACTGTTATTTATTTTCTTGTAGATAAAAAAACGTTTGAGATATTAGCATGTGTTTAAAACCACATTTTTACAAAAAATGTCGATAACTTGGAAACCCTAAGACCGTCCAGATTTTCCTCTAACTTTAGCAAATAAGCCTCAGAGCTCTCTAGTTTTATATCTGCAAGTTTGAAGCAATCGTGACCGTAGAACGCGCTGCACAAATAGCTGGTGAAATTTAACCTTAAAATGCAACTCTAACACATTTCTGAAAGTTGACACGCAAATAGAGGAAAACTGCCGACAGGCTATCTCCTATCTGCAAGGGTATTCTTGCCCAAAGCTTTAGTTGCAAGAAACTGGGTAATCAGAAACCTGCGGCGAATACAGTTCGCAATGCAAGTAGAACAACCGTTTATGCTGAATGCGGGAGGGATAAGCGAACATCTATTTATCAAAGTTACTGTGTATTTGCCCTTCTCTTTTCCAAAAAAACTTTCAAGAAAGCAAGATATAGCATTTACGGAAATCTCCTACCAGTTTTTAGCATCGAAGATTCCCGTCATGAGGAGAAATAAACTGAGCCACCAACTCCAGTACTTCAATCGATCCAATTTCAGCTGCAACGAAAACACTTGTATTAGGTAATTTATCCAAGCTTGTACGATTTGCCATCACATTAGCACGGGCAGTTTGCCACTGGGGATAATGAAAAGAATAAGACGATTGTCATATTTTCTTCATCTTTATCCCCAAGCGGCAAATTTCCCGTGCGAATGTGATGTCAAGTCTAAAAAGCTTGAATAAATTACCAAGCGCAAGGGCTTTCAGTGCAGCTGAAAAATGGACGGTTAGAAGTAATGGAGTTGGTCGCTTTATTTCTCCTGAAAACGGAAACCTGCGACGCTAAAAACTCTTGAGAGTTTTTCGTAGATGCTATATTTTGCCTTGTTAGGATAGGTATCGAAAAGAGAGGGACAAATACAAAGTAAGTTTGATGAATGGAAGTTTTTTTTATCTTGCCCTGCATTCAGCATAAAGTTGTTCTTCTTCCTTTGCAAACTGTATTCGCCGTAGGTTTTTGATAAGCCAGTTTCTTGCAACTGAAGCTTTGGGCAACAAGACCCTTGCACGTGGGAGATAGCCTGTCGGCAGTTTTCCTTTGTTTGTGCGTCAACTTTCACAAATGTGTTAGCGTTGCATTTTAAGGTTAAACTTGACCAGCTGTTTGTGCAGCGAGTTTTTAAGGTTGCGATTGACATCAAACTTGCAGATATAAATCTAGAGAGCTCTGAGGTTTATTTGCTGAAGTTAGAGAAAAATCTGTCTTAGGGTTTCGAAATTATTGATATTTTTTGTAAAAATGTGGTTTTATACATATGTCGATATCTCAAACGTTTTAATACCTTCAAGAAAATAAATAACGGTTTCTTAGAATTCGACCATGTTTTATTCCGGGGCTTTATTAAGGATGCCAAGAATTATAGAAATCGGTCAAATCTTACCTGCCGAAAAACGCGTTTCAAAAACATAACCATCGCGCATATAAATAGGTTCGGGCCACCAAAAAAAAAAAAAGAAAAAGAACCAAAAATATATCTGAATAACTTTCTCATTAAATGCTGCAAGAGCAGCAGGAGAGGCAAAAAATCCACATGGTTTATGATAAATAATATATTTTAGTAAAAATCCAACTAGTGGTCTACTATCAATGCTGCGTTCTGATTGGTTGATCTACTAGGATATATGTTATACTGAATTCTGCGAAGCTGATCGTACTACTTGAAAAATAACTTTGCAAGACATCAACACGACACCGAAAGAACCAAAAACAGAGAGGGGTCGTAGCCGTAGATAACTGTGTCGCCCTTTTGGGGGCTCGTCACTGCGGCGCAACGAACAGAGAGGCTCTGCCGTAAAATTCCCGCACACTCTGTTTTAAAGTACTGACATGAACTCAAACACTCACAGAATTACGCCATATATGTTATAGCCCACTAGTAGCAAAAAGGAGTAATTGTTAAATAGCTCATTAAGAAAGTAAATGAGAGTAGAAGTTCTTGATCGACGTTTAGTTAACAGGTACAGCTAGAGAATATATTGCAATCAATAGAATTGATTCTTATTAATAAAAATTCTGTCAAAAAAGTTAATCTTATAATGGGTGGTAAACATTTTTCGTTTGTGACGACACATGCAATCACGTAATCAGATGATGCCCTCTTTTTCGTCCAAGTTTTCAACCTATACAGGTTTCGTTGGTCATACCTATCATGTGCTGCTGGTTACACTTGAACACGCAACACCGGATGATTGGTTACTTCTTGTAAACCTTTCTTTGGATGGAAGAGGATAATTTTTCCCTCATCTCCTCGCGCTCCTTTAGTTGAAGGACACGTGACCATATAAATTATTATTTATTTGTTTTAATGAACTATCAGTTCATTTTTTGCCCGAGGGCAGCAAATGAGTTGGTTTGGAGCCTTTTCCTTAAGGTCTGTTTGACTTTGAATTTGCCATCCAATGCAAACCAGCTGCCTAACAAGTTAAATGTCGCGTCAGCAGTTTCAAGTACTTTTACTAGAAAGACTGGGTCTTTCTATCATCCATGATTTGACTGACGAAATTCAACAGTTACAAAGCTCGACGATTAGACGATCGTATTGCCATTCCGATCAAGTTTGACAATTAACGTTAAAACTGCCAAAAATCGTGCTGCATGTTCAAAGTTTTGTTTTACTTATTACTTCTGCTTTTATTATTTTCTCGTTCCCTTAGTTGTCGTTGTCGTGGTTGCTCGACCTCGCAAAATCATTCTCAATATGCAACCATTTCGTTGAAAAACCGACGATTTGATGAAAAACGCGCGACAAAAACGATGTCCGCAGGTACCCAAAGAGAGACTCAAAGGTCTCCCTTTAAAGACCTGTAACCAAAAAAAAAACATTATAATAAGCAGCTCTTGGCGAGTTAATCGTCTCTATCGTGACAAAAGCGTTTCGTTTTATTTATATAAGCCTTTTTGCACCGTTTTCGACAACGAATAGCTGCCTTATTTCTCTGGGATGAACCGCTGTAAATGAACTCCAAATTCGTCAATAACGGTCTCAAATAATGTTGTCTTTTCCTTTTTGACTGACTTATTTCAACACTTATAAAAATGGACCTACCGTTATTATTAAAAGGAAAACATATTCACATTTTTGTATAATGAGCACATCACATTTAAATTTTCCGCTTTCTGTTAGAGGAAAGGTCTCATTTATTTCAAACGACTGAGTTCATATTTCGGTCCAGCAAAACGCTGAAAATGGTGCTTTTTACATAATATTTGACGCATTCTACGTCCAGAGCTCTTTATTTGGTTTTGCTTCCTTTTTTGGCGTTTTAGCGTCAACCGTTGACAGATTCTTGGCAATCCATCTTCATCTCAGAGAACAGGAACTTGTGACTCACAAGCGGGTTGTTGCTGTAGTGAGTTCAGTCTGGGTTTTAAGTGCCTTTACCAGTGCCTTGCTTGGTTTGAAATGGATACGGATTCTTGGCTTTATCTCAATCCAATTGCCATCAGAGGAAGAATAGTGGAACATTGAGAGCTTCTTAGGTCTGTTCAACTATTCCCGCAACGAATCATTTCCAGTGTCAGTCTTACTTGAAAGAGAAAACAGTTGCAGAGCTATTCAGGCTATTCAAAAGCCGATTCCGTACAAAGACAGAAACGTAATGATGGAAACTGAAAGTTTTCGAGAAGGCTGTCGCTGAACATGAATCAAACTGAGTTCTCTCTTTAGTCCAGTTGCCATCGAGCAAAGGAAGAATGCAGAATGACGGAAGCTGAAGGTTTTGCAGAAGGTTTGCACCCGACTCTTGTCGCTAGCTGCGCCATCAACGCTTTTTCGTCTTTCACTGCCATCGTATTGAATGTCATAACAATACAAGCGCTCCGAAAAACGGCGTCGTTGTCAAAGACTTTAAAAACATTGCTCCTGAGTCTGGCTGTTTCTGATCTTGGAGTTGGTTTGCTTGCTCAACCTATCTATATAGCAACTCTTGTAATAAAAATTGATCAAAGTACGCTATTTGGATGCAGCGTTCAATTTACTTCCCGTATTCTTCGACTTCTTGGATATGTATTTTTGCCTGCTTCATTTTTTGGCATTTTCGCTTTAAGTGTTGACAGATTCTTAGCCATTCATCTTCATCTCAGATACCAGGAAGTTGTGACATTCAAGCGAATTGTTGCCTTAGTGATCTCAATATGGGTGCTCAGTTCAGCTCTTTCGGTACTTGCTTTGAACAAAAATTTAGAGAAAGTTCTCTCCTCTGTTATTGGAATCATTGCGTCAGTTTGTCTAATAATTGCAGGAGTTCTTTGCTGCAAAATGCACGCAGTTGTTCGACGCCATAGAAATGAAATTAATAGCGCTCTGCAAGTACAACAAGTAGCACAGAATGGAAAACTGGCAAGTGACGCAAGGCTGAAAAAAACTGCACTTGCTACATTTTATATGTATATCGTGTTTTTGGGATGTTATGTGCCACACTTTTGCGTGAGAGCTGCTTCTATAAACTCCGGTGAGTCTGTGTTGCGACAGCATCTGTTTTATTGCTTTTTGACACTGATGTATCTTAATTCATCTCTCAATCCTTTGGTCTACTGTTGGAAGATGCGAAACATTCGACAGGCTGTGATGACTGTACTTCGTAACCTCTTTCAAAGTCAGTAAGGCTTACCAAAGTCAAAGATAGGTATAAGGCAACATTTGAACCTCTTCAAGGAGACCACACCAGAAAAGCAATACGCTGGAAGGCCGTTCCAAGAACCTGAAATAAAAGAATGCTGTTCTAATAACTTAAAGCGCTATTATGCTTTTTTATATAAAAAGGACATAAAACGCCCTAACCGAAAGGAAGAGCTTCAGTCTCTCTGTCACTCCAACCTCATTTTCTTCAACGTGTCCTACCACCACCTATACTTCACTAACACACTAATTTACTGACTCTTCTCCACTGATTAAAGAATGCTAAACTGATTTGTCATACTGATATATATATAACGCTATACAGTCACTCTTCTCATCTAAACCAGGAACTCCGTTTTGCTTCTTCCTCGTTTCTTTGTTACCCTTTGTTACCCGGTATCTTTCAGTTAACTACTCTACTCCACTTAGGCCCACCCCGGCCCTTTCGACCTTGCCCTTTAAACTTACTAGAGAAGGTTTTCAAAGGATGTAATTGTCTTCATTTCCTATTTACTTCTTGTTTCTGTAATTTCCAAACATTCAAAACTTACCCAGTCGGCGGGTTTGTTTTGACCATAGTGCATGCAATCAAACCATTTTTCAATGTCATTGTCAAAGATAAATAATTAATATTTGATCTTTGCTTTAGTTCGTTAACTTAGCGCTTGGTAAAGAACGGCTCCTGAGGCAGTTAACAAATCAGTTGCAGTTTATTTTAAGAAAGATTATCATTGATCGGTGATTAAGACGAAGCCGGCGAAGAAGAGTCGACCTTCTTTTAGGAATAGGTTTTGTTTGTGCGGGGGACTTAGTATAAAGACCAGTAGTTTGTTTATTTTGCCTGTGCAAATGTAGCGTCAAAAATTTGCAAACGAGGTTGTTGGCAAGGGAATATTGTTTTTTTCTTTTTGCCGAGAAACCTTGAGGAAAAGTGGTCGTATTAAGTGCCTCGATCGTGTTTTTGAGAATAACAGATTTGATGAGCGCGGGTAAAATGTTTGCGGATTACAGCCTAGGCCGAGTGAGAAATTCAGCACATAGGGACACTGAGGTTATGATGTTATATAATGGCATATTTTAAACATTTTAAACACACAACTTATTTAGATAAATTAGATTGTTGACTTCATATTAAAATAACAACCTATTACGCCTTTGTACTCAACCTCTTTTCCCCTGAAATGAACTATTTTATTTTTTCCTTTTCAGCCTTCTTGCGTTTTTCGATAAACACATATTAAACTTCTATCAGTTGCCTCAGTAGTTTAATAGCTTTCTTCCGATCCATTTCACGTGGCAAACTTAAATGCTTATAAATACTTGTTTGAGTTTAAAGTAAATTGTATTCAAATTTTTGTTTGATGAGGACATCATAAAATTGAATTTCCAATAGTATTTTTTAGACCCACAGATGTTTTAGATCCACTATATATTTTAGATTCTTCGAGTATTCGGCTCAAACTTTCTTAAAAATGATTACAAACAGGAAAAATAGAAATTGCCAATTTAATAATCAGTATACCAGGAAGGTAACAAGATTTATCATTCATGTAGTCTCGTGAAGAGTCTTCTACGATAGTCAGTCTCGTTCGAACACGCAAAACACCTCTAGAGCCCAATTAAGTTCTTTGCAGCTATAGAAATGAGCTGAATTAAGACTGATCAATAAAAAAAAACTCACTGCACTTTTGTTCCCAGCCTCTCCCCCCCTCCCCTGAAATGAACTATCTTATTCTTTTTTACTTTTGCTTTCTCGCAATTTTTTAAAAAACACATAGCCTCGAGTACCACTAATGCACTGTGGACTGCTGTGGATTTAACTTCAATCGGTTGCTTGGTCATGATAGTTCTAACGACTTTTTTCCGTTTCACTTGGTACACTTAATTGCTTATAAAAGCTCTAACTATTGTTTGAGTTTAAAGGAAAATGTATTTAAAGGGCGAGCATCATTAAACTGAATTTCTAATTCAGTGTTAGGACCGACAGTTTTGATTGAAAACGACTGGATATTACAGATCCCTCAAGTGAACAAGCTCAATCTTTCTTACCAAACTATTACACCTATACTACTGGAAAAAACTCTAATACTGGGCCAATCCTATAATCAGTTATTCTGGGAGGAAATGCAATGGACATTCATTGTTTAGTAAGCCTTGCGAAGAATCTTTAAGAATCAGTCTCGTTCGAGTACGGAAAACACCTTCAGAGTCCGATTAAGTTCTTTGCAGTAACTGAACATTACTCAGGGTCACCTACAAAAAGATGACAATAACTAACGACTTGCATTCAACTCTGGTAGTTAACTGCGTCTTCAACGCTTTCATGTCTTCCACTACCATCTTGTTAAACATCATAACAATACAAGCGCTCAGAAAAGTGTCGTCGTTCCCGAGGACTTTAAAAATCTTGTTACTAATCTTAACTATTTCTGATCTGGGTGTAGGCTTACTTGTCCAACCACTGTACGTGGCTCATCTCGTGACGATCATAGAGCAGCGCAATAACAATAGTGCTTATGATACAATGAGCAAGGCATATTTTATACTGAGCAATTTATTTGCTTTAAAGTCGTTTTTAGGCGTTGTTACTTTAACTGTGGACAGATTCTTGGCCATTCATCTTCATCTCAGATATCAGGAACTTGTGACTACCAAGCGTGGTGTTGCTGTAGAATTCTCAGCCTGGGTTTTAAGTGCATCAATTTCCTTCATTTCCTTGTATTCGTTTGAGATTTCTTCTATTATATCAGCAATTATTGTAGCTGTTTGTATCATAATTACAGGTTTGCTTTACTGTAAAATATACGCAGCCGTAAGACACCACACAATTCAGATTCACGCTCTGCAAGTACAGCAAGCAGCACAGTATCAGAATGGAGAAACGGCAAATGCCGCAAGGCTAAGAAAAACTGCACTTGCTACATTTTACGTGTATTTGTTGTTTTTAGTTTGCTATTTGCCGGTAACCTGTGTTCTTCTTGCCGAGAAGAATGGTAAAACTGCCTTGTTATCGCATTTAAGGTATTTTACTTTTACCCTTGCGTTTGTTAATTCATCTCTCAATCCTCTGATTTACTGTTGGAAGATGAGACACATACGGCAAGCTGTTCTTAGCATGCTTCGAAACATCTTTCTGAGCGGTCACTAAAATGAGACAACAGTACCGTAGGAAGAAGGACGCTAAATATAACCGCGACGTAACCTCTTAGGAGTATTCCTTCGAAAGGGATAGGTACAACCGAGCTCTGCACAGTTAACGGTCTTAAAACGTTTCATAGATTTTGTTAGACCTTGTAAAACAAAGTGCATGCAATCAAAAACTCCCCAAAAGGCAAAATTGTATTAATAAATCTTTCATATATTAAACGTTACAAAGTCTTACAAAAGTGGTGAAAAAATGTACCGATATCACAATACCATGGCCCTTTGTTGTAAAGTAAATAAACTAGAATTTCTTGATCTTTTGGTAAAGTGTACAGTTGACTGAGTTGACATAATCGGCGTATCGTCCTATGGCAATGAATATAGTCAATAAAGTTCCGGCCTTCAAAATGGGCGTTTTAAAGGAAGGTAAAATAAAAGTTTGATCATTTTTTTTGTTCAATCAGAGAAATGGTTAACTAATTTCAGTCTAAGGATCACCCTTAAAACTTAAGTTTTTGACTGGGAAAGAAAATAGCTGCTTGTTGAAATCATTATACGTACTATGCGGGGATGAATAGAATCTGATAGGGACGGAACCGAGATTTACACAGAAATTAGAGAGTTAGAAAATACGTTGTGACGATAAAAGCACGTAAATAATATCTAATATTATGACGGTGTTATTTCGCCCAGCTTTGAGATTATGTAGGTTTCTTTAGAAAGGTGATAACTTATTAAAAACAGTCATGACGACTCTTAGAGCACAGTTTTATCTACGGAGTTTTAAACTTGTGCAGATTCTGTTCCTCTAGGTATCTCAGACGAAAGCCTCGCAAACAGCTCTAAGTAGGTGTATGGACTGAAATGTTGTCGTTTACTAGAGCACTGAAATACATTTAAAAAGGGCATTGTATGGTTTTCCTACAACCTGATTACCCATTCAATAGCGGGGATATTTTAAACATTTAGATCGTTTGCAACTGAGTAAACTTGGCTAGTAAGACCGGATGGTTGGTTAAGTAGGCTACCAACTGTGTCTATTTTTAAAAGATATTTTCCCGTAAGATTCTTTTGGGGTGAGAGGGTGTTTGGGGGGGGGGGGCTGGGAGGTAACATTCTTTTCTCTCATCTCGCACTCGGGGTAAAAAAAAGGTCGTTACTCGTGACCATGCATTTCATCAAAGATATGTGCGAAGTTTTGCCTGAGGCCAGCAAAATACCTTAAAATTCCGAAAATAAGCCCCTGGACTTATATTTTTCAAAGGCCCTTTTTGAGCGGCTTATAGTCGGAGGGGCTTATGTACGGAGGGAAATTTGCGTTTTAAAATCGATTGGGCTAACCTTATGGTTGGAGGTAGATTTACCTTTTCTGTCTGTTTTACTCAATGTATTTGAGGGCAATTTCCAAGTACAAGCCCCCAGGGGGAATTATATTTGGAGGGGCGATTTAACGGAGGGTTTTTTTGCGTTATGATTTTGGGGGGCTTATACATGGAGGAGATTATTTTCGGAATTTTACGGTACGTTGGTTTGGTCTAGAGGGAGACGTTTTCCCTCAATTCATAACTGAACTCTTTCTGTTTGACTGTGTATTAGCGATGACTGCAAACCACCTGCCGTTTCTACTTCAGTATTGCATCAGTAGTTTCATATAATTTTCTTCCATTTGACTGACGAACCTCAACACTTACAAAGCTCGACCTATCGCGTTTCGGTTCAAATGAAAATATATTCAAATTACGATGTGATGATGCGGACGTCACATTTAAATTTGTAAATTCCGGGCTCTGTTAAGAAACAGTTAAAATTTTTAATAAGTGGATATTTAGGATGTTATAAGTACGACTTGGGAAATTTCACTATTGTCGCCGAAGTCTCAAAAGTCCTCGGCACCTTTGCCATCGAAGGAAGAATGGCGGAACACTGAGAACTCAGTCTTGGGACTGTTCAATGTCTGGCGACGAATCATTTACAGTTCCAGTCTCATTTAAAGAAGAAAAAAGTTGGAGAGCTCTTCAAACGTTCTCTACAAAAACAGAAACTTAAGACTGTATTTAAAGCTTCTTTATAATCATGACGGAAGCTGAAGGTTTTCGAGAAAGTTTGCATCCGACTCTTATCGTTAACTGCGTCGCCAATGCTTTTTTGTCTTTCACTGCCATCGTGTTGAATGTCATAACGATACAAGCGCTCCGAAAAACGTCGTTCGTTGTCGAGGACTTTGAAAACATTGCTACTAAACTTGACTATTTCTGATCTGGGTGTAGGCTTACTTGTCCAACCACTCTATGTTGCATCTCTTGTGATGGAAAATGAACAAAACACTAACAACATTGCTTTTTATGTAGTGCGCAAAGCACATATAATCCAGAGACAATTATTCGTCTCTGGTTCGTTTTTAAGTGTTTTCGTGTTAACTGTTGACAGATTCTTGGCAATCCATCTTCATCTCAGATACCAGGAACTTGTGACTCACAAGCGGGTTGTTGCTGTAGTAGTTAGTACTTGGGCGTTTAGAGCATCAATTACTTTCCTTCGTCAGTTTTATTTAACCAAGGGTTCTTTACCTGCAATCATTGTAGTTGTTTGTATCATAACTACAGGATTGCTTTATTGCAAAATATACGCAGCCGTGAGACACCACACAAATCAGATTCACGTTCTGCAAGTACAACAAGTAGCACAGAATGGAGAAATGCCAAATGCAGCGAGACAGAGGAAAATGGCAGTTGCTACATTTTACGTGTATGTGGTGTATTTAGTTTGCTACTTGCCAGTAGCTTGTATTGTTTTTGCTAAGACCAATGGTGAAACTGTCTTGTTATCACGTTTAGAGTATTTCACATTGACTCTTGGGTATCTTAATTCATCTCTCAATCCCTTGATCTACTGTTGGAAGATGAGACACATTCGACAAACTGTTATGGTAATACTTCGAAACATCTTTCCGAGCGGTTAAAAAACAAGGCTTTGCAGTTTAGATGACTGCCCTGTTTTGCTTGCTATTCATGCAATACTAATGAAAAAAAAACACTAAATATAACCAGGACCTAGAATGGAAGCTCTAAGACTATCTGTTTAAAGTTAACGGGATAAAAATGACTTAGTATAAGTAAATTATATTTTTGCTTTGAAAAAATTGTAGCAAATTAAGAAAGCTCTAGCCCCAGTTGTTCAAAAGCTGGATAGCGCTTTCCACCGGATAAATTTCTATCCAGTAGTAACTATCCAGTGGATAAGTATTACGGAAACTAACTGAGTTTAATATCCAGTGGAAAGAGATTTATCCGGCGGATGGACCTATCCACCTTAGAACAACTGAGGCCTGAAATAAATTTCATCAAACTCGGAAAGAGTGTAGAAAAGTCAAGTGGCTTTCAATAAATGAGTGACCTTTTTCAAATGAGTGGCATTTTTTATTGCGATATATACGCGCGCAGTCATTCGGCACAATGCAAATCAGATACTCGGGCCTACACGCCCAACAAGTAGAGCCAATGGAGAAATAGCGGGGGTATAGCTGAGTGGTCGTTCGAAAATGATGCGTCTCGTTAAGTATCAGCCTAGTCTCGAAATCTCGACATTCGAGATAAGAGTCTAAGTCCCCGATTATATGGAGAAAAGTTGTCCTGGGAAAGAGGGTCACCCTCCCAGAGGATTCAACCAGTTATATGAGAAAAAAGTTGACCCTCTGCTTGAGCCAAGAGCTGACAATAGCGCTCGCCTGTACTCTGATTGTGTCACCTTGACCGACTTGACCCGGCTGGGCGAGCAAAAATGTTTATCCTGGAAAGCCTTGCACCTGGGCACCCTTTAAAACAAAGGAAGGTTCAAATGAACCCTCACTGAAATCATAAAGTATTACAAAAGATATACTTAGACATAAAGAGATAAATATTGGCCAATATAAGAAACCTTGAAAAAATGTCAATGACGTGACTTCATTATCAAGAAAAGACATTTTGACACTGAGTTTAGAGACTTGGAACATAGTGATAACGCTACTTAGCTTGACTGGCCCAGGCAATTACAACCGGTGTCTGGAAATGGGTATCGACAGAATTTGATTGTGTGAAAGTTAACAACAAGAGACGAGTCCAAAGAATTTAAAAGTTACAACGAAAAATGCATTTTCTCCAGAGTTTCCAGCATCTTAAATATTGGAGTTCGTCGACGTATTTTTCCCGTTGGTGGTTGCTGGTTACGAGTCTAGTGACCGCATGTCTGAGTCACTGTTCCACACACTTTTTGTCAGTCAACATGCTATGGCAGCTTTTCAGTAGTTTCTTTCGACCACATTTAACCAAAGATATTCTTTTTTATCTGCTCAAATTCGTAATTACGACGAACCATTTATTTAACAAAACTTAATAAAGCTAACATTGTATTTGAACAAATTTCAAATAAAACAGCTTTGAGATAGTTTCGAAGTTGATAATAACTGTAAATTAAGAAACATATATCGCTTCTTATCAACATCATTTTATAATTACCGATCTACCTCTCTCTAAACTGGTGATTTAGTAAATAACAACCTAGTTCGCCTTTGTTCTCAACCCCCTTTTTCACCATAACTATTTTATTCTTTTCATTTTCAACGTTTTTACATTTTCAATAAACATATAGCCACCACTAGTTGACAGAGAACTGTCATGAATAAAACGTAGTCCAATTCGCCGTCTTTAGTTTTGATTAAAATTTCTTCCTTTTCACCTGGTAAACTGTTTGTTTTAGATGCTTATAAGAGGTCGACCTATTGTTTAAGCTTAAAAGAAAATATATTCAAATTTGTGTTTGATGAACCTGACATCATATGAATTTCCAGTTTTGTGTTAAGAATCACAGTCTTGACTGAAAACGACTAGATATTCCACATCCTTCGCGTGATCGGCTCAAACGTTCTTATACATGATTGCAAACAGGAAGAACGGAAGTCGAAACTGGGCGTTTAGTCCAATGATCATTATACTAGAAGAGGAAGCGTAGTGGAACATATTGTGAACTTCTGGAGATTCATAATTCATTTGGTCTCCCCGGTAAAGAATCTTTCATAGTCAATCTCGTTCGAACACAAATAACATCTCCAGATCCCAGTTAAGTTATATAGGACTAAATCAACTGAACACTGCTCAGGGTCCACAGTGGAAAAGATGGCAAGTACTTGGCATGGCTTGCATTCTACTCTTATCATTAACTGCGTCTTCAATGCTTTCTTGTCTTCCACTGCCATTGTTTTAAACATCATAACAATACAAGCGCTCACAAAAACTTCGTCGTTGTTGAAGACTTTAAAAACATTGCTACTAAGCCTGGCTGTTTCTGATCTGGGTGTGGGCTTACTTGTCCAACCACTGTATGTTGCAACTCTCGTGATGAACATAGAACAGAACTCCAACAACACTGCTTATTATACCATAAACAAAGCCTATGCAATCCCCAAAAAGCTATTGGTCTTGGCTTCGCATCTTGGTGTTTTCGCGTTAACAGTTGACAGATTCTTAGCAATCCATCTTCATCTCAGATACCAGGAACTTGTGACTTACAAACGTGTTGTTGCTGTAGTGAGTTCAGTCTGGGTGTTCACTGCATCAATTACCTTACTACGTCAGCTGTATTCGGCTGTGGATTCACGTATTATGCCAGCAACTATTACAGTTGTTTGTATCATAACTACAGGATTGCTTTATTGCAAAATATACGCAGCCGTGAGACACCACACAATTCAGATTAACGCTCTGCAAGTACGACAAGTAGCACAGAATAAAGAAATGGCAGATGCAGCGAGGCAGAGAAAAATGGCACTTGCTACATTTTACGTGTATGTGGTGCTTTCAGTTTGCTATCTCCCGATAGCTTGTGTTGTTTTTGCCAAGATCAATGGTGAAACTGCCTTGTTATATCATTTAGAGTATTACACATTGACTCTTGTGTATCTCAACTCATCCCTCAATCCCTTGATCTACTGTTGGAAGATGAGACACATTCGGCAAACTGTTATGGAAATACTGCGAAATATTTTTGCGATTGATTCTCACTAAAGATAGGATCTACGTCAGAAAAACTTCTTTGAGCAATACAGATGGAAAAATGACACTTAAAATATAAAAAGAACCTAAAACTTCTTGGACCTTCTGTTTAAAAGCCTAAGAGATATGATCGAGTATGATAAGTTTATGATATTTTAGTGTGGAATAATTAACAGATTAAGGAAACTCTGAAATATTAATATGTAGCAAAGTAAGATAGAGGGTAAAAGTGCTAAGCGAATTAGGACGAATGATTGTGACTTGATATATAGAGTAATAAATAGTGGGCTGAGTTTTCTAAATTTCTTGGGCAAAAAGATCTGTGCACAGTTCAGATCAGTTAAGGGTCGTAAAAGGTTTAATGGATTTTGTTAACCATAGTGCATGCAATCAACATAAAACGAAACAGTAAAATAGAGTGGAAAGAGCAAAACTATATCAATAAATCTTGCAAACAAGAGTGATAAAAAGACCAACCGTTATATAATCAGGGGCATCCAGCGCCTTTTTTCTGTAAAATAACTGTTCGAAGAAGCAAATATTGCCTAGAAACTTCTAAAGCTCGTGAAAAGCCAAAACTTTCTGAATAACCGTTCCATTCGTCTACAATATTCGAACATTTTCTAACAGCTTAACTACGACTTTCGGAGGTTGTGTTAGTCGCATTTTAATACCAAGATATTGCGATTATTGTTAAAAAAAGGTCTCCTAAAACTTTCGGAGCAACGACAAAACGTCCCGTTAAAATTTTCGAATGAGAGCAAGGCTACTTCATGTCCTCGTACTTTCGACCGGACCCACAAGGGTAGCCAACACACACTTTCGGATGAGACGAAAAAGCCACCTAAAACTTTCGTGACGACCAAAGTTCGCCTAAGACATTCGAAGAGAGAAGTAGTGTTTAGGGCAACTCCAAATTATCCCAACAGGCTTCTAAAGCACAACGAAAACCATTTGATACACTTCTGGCGTATTTGGAAACATTTGGTCGTTGGGTGTTCCTGTATAATAATAATAAAAAAACAACAACAACCCTTGGTGTTCATAGCTACTTTCGTATTGCACTCCGATAACCTCTATTTGCACTCTATAAGCCATTTATGCATTCCTCATCGACCAATCAGAAAACTCATATTTTGTTGAGTATATAAGAATAATAATAGTAATAATAATAATAATAACAATAATAATAATACAGCCTTTTTTGAGAAGGAAGAAAACTAGTGGTAACAAATATAGTTGAAAATATATTACAATACTTGAAATTAATTCATATCAATAATAAAAGTTCCTGTACAAAATTATGAAAATGTTATAAAGAATGGTAAAAATGCACCGTTCAATCATGTTTCTTAATTTGTCTAGTGAAGAAATATCTTAGTAATAAGATCGTGCAGCTTTTAAAATTTTGGACTGGGAGAAATTTAAAACTTCCTTCCACAGCTAAGGACACCGATTGGAGTAAATGATGGCTAATTGAAATCATAATACCGTTTAAAACACCATAATATCTGCTTCCTCCTCAGACGCTTCATTTTCTTTGCAAACGTCGATAAAATGACTCCATTATGAAGCAAAGAGCTTCTTGCACTGAGATTAGGGACTGAGAACCAAAAGGTTTGAGAATGCAATAAGTAACTGAAGTCTAGGATTGACTGACCTTGACAGGTTGCTTTGTTCAAGTTGAGCGTCTTCTAAGCAACTATCGATACGTGCGTAAGAGGAATTTAAAATAACGCTGAAACTTTACAAAAGACCGTATTTAATATTTTCGTAGGAATTCAGTAAGATGATCGCTAAATAAAAATGATGATGAAGACGCTTATGTGCACTGGCCGAGTATAAAGCAGGGGTTAGTCCCTATACGAGGCTATCTTTTTAGAGTAAGGTGTTGTCGACTGAATTAATTTATATTTTTATAAAACAGGTGGGGAGGAGGAGAATTGCTTTCTTTACACAGGTTGAAAACTAAGAGGTTGGGGGAAGAGTTAAAGTGATTCCAAAAAAGGAAAATAATTAAGTGAGTAACCGGAGATATGTAAAACGACAGACGAATTAACAATAAACAAATAAAAAATTTTAAACAAATCGTTATTTTTACTCGATTGTTAAACTAAAATGTGTATTCTCCTACACACTGTTTTCCTGTTAGCTGGTTAGGAGCGCTATTTCATAATCATGGCAGTTTCTCAACAATTTTTGTTTCAGTGGAGGGAGGAACAGTATGCTCTTGATTATTTCGACTACGCATTAAATTGCGAGCAATGAGGACTGACTTTCCTCAATATTACTAAATAAATCCTGAAGAAACTGGAGTTAATATGACTTAGGGTTCGTTAGTTGCATCAGATGAGTTTAATTACCACGACCCATTAAGTTATTAAGTTAATAAACCATAGTACAGTCGACCCCCGATAATTCGAACCTTCAAGGGAAATAGAAAAAAGTTCGAGTTATCGAGAGTTCGAGTTATCGAGGGTAAAATTATATGAGAAATGATCTGAAGGGAACTGAAAATTGCTTTGAGTTAACGGGAGGTTCGAGTTGTAGAGGGTTCGAGTTACTGGGAGTCGACTGTATTTAACGTGACTTTCTTTTGAAACCTAGGCTAAGAAAGTTTTTTTATGAGTAATAAGTTTCTTCTCTCAACTCCTCAGATTCGTCTTAGATCACAGTTAATCGAAAGTGGTAGATATTTTTTGCTTTTGTCCGGCAAACATGTTGGATTGGTCTCCGACCTAATAGTTCGCACTTCCTCTAAACCATCGCTAAACTTAGTTTCTGTTTGACTGTGTATTTACGATTCACTGCAAACCAGCTGCCGTTTCTACTTTAATATCGCGTCAGTAGTTTCAAATAACTTTCTTCCATTTGACTGACGAACTTCGGCAATTACAAGCTCGACCTATGGCGTTTCGGCTGAAAGGAAAATGAATTCAAATTTCTGAGTGATCAGGACGTCATATTCAAATTCTGAATCCCTTGCTGGTGAGATTTCAGATGTTATGAGCACGACTTAGGGACTTTTTTACTATTGACGCGGAAAAATCAACAGCTCACTTTAACCCAACTGCCATCGAAGGAAGAACAATGGAACACTGAAACCTTTTTGGGAATGTTCAGAGCGAAGAATAATTGACAGTGTCAGCCTTACTCAGAAAAGAAAACATTTTCAAAGCTCTTCAAAAGTTCCATACAAAACAGATGGCAATCGCTAACGGTTTGTGTACGTTTCTTGTCGTTAACTGCGTCATCAACGCTATCTTGTCTTTCACTGCCATCGTGTTAAACATCATAACAATACAAGCGCTCAGGACAACTTCGTCGTTGTCGAAGACTTTTAAAACATTGCTACTAAGCCTTGCTATCTCTGATGTGGGTGTTGGTTTAGTTGTCCAGCCACTGTATGTTGCAAGTCATGCGATGATGATAGAACAAAACACGAACAACATTGCTTTTCATGCAGTAGAAGAAGCGTATTTCATCCAGAGCATATTATTTGCCTTTGCTTCGTTTTTTGGTGTTTTCGCTTTAACTGTTGACAGGTTCTTGGCGATTCATCTTCATCTCAGATATCAGCAACTTGTGACATACAAACGTGTTGTTGCCGTAGTGATTTCAGTCTGGTTGTTAAGTGCATTAATTAGCTTCCTTAGTTCGAATACAGGCGGTGTGCGCACTACGACTGCGATGCATTGTGGATTCAAAATTTTCAAGATGGCGGCGAAGGTCGAGAAATTTCGCAGGTTATATGCTTTATTTTTCAATAGATACAGTTCTTTCCTTCGATAGTTTTTCTCGATTTCACAAGCTAATATTTGTTTACATTTTTTCTGTGAAGAAAAACAAATCAATATTCTTCATTTCAATCTAAAACGTGGAGCCCGAAGATTCCTCCTGTAAGAGCATGAAATTTGAACCCGGTTTTTAAGAGGCTATAATTTCCATTATATTGCCCGTCGAAAGTAGAGGATAGTTGTAAGTGTTTCTACAAACCTTGTTCTACGCTAATTTTTTATCGCTCCCCAACGCGCCCCACGTTTTGTGATACTTTTTCCGAATTGAAACCGGCATGTTTTCATGGGAAAATGTAGCCTCGCGAAGACCAATGTGACATGTTACGAAGTGTTACTGTTGTAATCACAAGCTGATCACAAAATAGCGGGGCAGCGGCGACTGGTTCCTCCAAACAATAGCATTAGGTGAGCATAAAATGTTGGAAACTGGTATATAAATAGGCTGATGAGTACTCTGATGTAGGAATGTCTGTTTTTGTAATAGGACTAAAAAGCATAATAAAATTGCAGTCATACATGTGACTCTCTTGATGCAGGTATAAAATCAGTAGGATTAGAATCACAGGTATTAAATTAAGAGATAAGTTTGATTATACAGTTAAGCCCTGTGCATTTTGAAACTAGCAATCTACTTCCAAGATTGGTGTGTGTTGTTGTGTGGATGTTATGACTTTGTCAGTTTCTTGCCTAGTCCCTGTTTTATTCAGTGGTGATTAGCCTCCGTAGCAGGCATTTAAAAGGAAAGGGAGAGGGGTTTTGGGCACAAGAGAAATGCGAAGAGTGCACGAGGAAGGAGGGAGTGATTTCAACATTCACCTGGTTGATGTTTATAATGCAAAAAACAATTAGCCTCCTGTATGGCAGGCATTTCCCTCCCTCCTTCCCTCACATTTCTCTTGCACCAAGACCCACTTTCCCTTTTCTTTGAAGTGCCTGCCACACAGGCTAAGTGATGTCATTCAATCTGTTTACCCGTTTACACTGTTTAATATATATCAAACAATTTGCATATTTTGGTGGCTTTAGTTAAAATATAAATTGCTTGATCATTGAATGTACTTTTGATATTGGAAAACCAAGGCTGAAAAAATGGTGGCAGGGAAAGGAAATAGAAAAATTGGAAGAATGGGGCAGTAAAATCATGAGACTAAGAACCTGAATTAACTAAGTAAGCCCAAACAGATTCTTATATAAATAGTAGTTAGCACAAGTTTAGGCTATTTAGGTTTTTAAATGGGTTCATATTTTCTGAAGTAAAAATGTAGCTAAGAGTATTTGCGTTTCACCTTATTCCTCATACAAAGTCTGCATACCAAATTAGAAGTTATGTGAGAATGGACATAAAAAGAGGAATGTATTTAAATTTAAACATTGGCATTTACATTGCAGTTGGAGTGATAAGACAGCTTTGTTTCCATAGAAGATTCTAAATGTTGATTTATCTCTGCTCAAGTGTACAGAATTTTTTCATAGATTTCAAGAATAAGAACCTGTTTCAAATTTTAGGCTAAACAGGTTTTTATATAGAGGGGGCTCATCTGGTATAATTTTATTTTAGCTGAACAGGTTCTTGAAATTCAGGTTCTAAGTCGGGGGGTTTTACTGTACCACTAGGATCCACCTCTGCAATAACTAGTAACCCAAAAGCCCTCTTTACGGACAACCGCTTCATACAGACACCTGATCAAGGCTGTGCTCTAGCAGAGCCCTGTGGCCCCTGGCACCTAACTTTTGCTTTTGGGTGACTAGAAAATCTCAGACTTTTCATACAAATCATATGCTGGGCAGCCTAGATTTTACAGGTTCAGAGAACTACGCTCCTTTCAATGTTCCTTAGAGCACAGCCTTGCTCATCATTACAGATAGCTTGCTTTGTTCCCTGGAAAAAAGCCCTTAAATTTTCTCTAAATTAAGATGGTTAATTTCTACGGTTCCCTCAGTGTCTGTATAACAGAGTTGACTGTGAGTATGATGAGACCTATGACACCATATTTAAATTATAAAATTGGGGTGAGGAGAAAGGAAAGGGGTCTCAAGCTATGTTGCCCCAGCCCTGATTACAGGAGATTTGTAAACATGTATGAATTTCACATTTTGAAGAGTTTTTATAATCCAAAAAAATATGTGATAACATGTGTTTGTACATACTGACACAATCATTAAACAAATATTGGCTGCAGCTTTTAAAATCTATTGACTGCATCAGGCTTTGTAATCACAAATATGCCATTTTCAGTTTCAATCCAGTTATAAGACATTCTATGACTCATACCAATAGAAAAATATGGCAAATAAAGATGCTCAATATTATATTATCTATAAAGAGGACACAAGTTCACTGTACACAAATACTCTCTACTTTATTTACTTGTCTTCATGTGATGATAAATACAGATGTTAAGCAAAACGAAATGCAGACTTGGTGCCAACAGAGAAACAAGTGCTCGAAACGATGACCCCCTCAACTTCGATTCTCTTATTACAGCTAGCAAGTGAACATCTTGCAATGCTGAATGACAAAACAAAATAAGCTCACTGTGTTTAAATACCGTTGCCGGGTATTCTGAAGAAGCTCCTAGTATTTTATGAGTATATCACAGCTATGCACATCAGTACCTCTTAGCACTAGTAGCACTGATTTCACGGTGAATTCAAAAATGTTCGGCGAACCGCGGGTCTTACCTCCAGTGCTTTTCATGATTGAAGCATTGAACAAAGCGTTTCTGTGCCGACTTTTCTCGGTCAGTTGCAAACAGGATACAAGTGATTACGAACAAAATACACCAGAATACACTTATCAACGGAATGAGACTGTTTTTTCCCTGAGAATTGGACAGACTTTCTTTTTCAAGGGCTTCCGGAGGACATTCAAAGCAAAATCGTATATATCTACAGCGTAATTAACGAATATTCACTCCGCAGTCGTGATGTTCACTCCACGCCATCTTGAGACAAATGATCAGATTTTGAATACCGCCCATGATGCTTAGCGATCGTAGTGCGCACACCGCCTGGTTCGAATATGGCTCAAGTGGCTTTGTCCATTGTATTAGGAACCATTTTAGTTGTATGTGTCGTAATTACAGGGATACTTTATTGCAAGATATACGCAGCAGTGAGACATCACACAAATCAAATACACGCTTTGCAGGTACAGCAAGAAGCACAGAACGAAGACATGGCGAATGTTGCAAGGCAGAGAAAAACTGCACTTGCTACTTTTTACGTTTATGTGGTGTTTTTAGCTTGCTATTTGCCAATATCTTGTGTTCTGTTATGGTGAAACTGCCTTGCTATCGCATTTAAGGGATTTTACATTGACTCTTGTGCATCTAAATTCCTCCCTCAATCCCTTGATCTACTGTTGGAAGATGAGATACATTCGACAAACTGTTATGGATATACTTCGAAATATCCTGGCGATTGGTCCGCATTAAAAAAAGAATCTAACTCAGAATAACTCGCCTTTTTCCTTCGACGAAATAAGAGCGTTTCAGCAATACAGTGGGAATTGACACTTAGCATATAAACGGGACCTGAAACCTCTTGCAGTTTCTGTTTAAAAACTAACGATATATATACATGTATATGATCGAGTATAAGTTCATGAGATTTGACATCAGTTTCCTTTGGAATAATAAACAGATAAGGGAAGCTCTCAAACAAAATTTCTCATAGCCAGGGAGAGGGTAAAATGCTAAGTGGCTTATTATGAATATGTGACTTTAAATTAATACATAGAGGGCCAAGGTTAATTTTCCAAATTTCGTGGGAAAAAAGGTTTGTGTACAGTAAAGGGTGTTAAAACGTCTACTAGACTCTGCTAACCACGGGGCATGCAATCAACAGGGGCACCCAACAACAAGGTTGTGAAAGGGATACCATGTGTCAATAAAAGGGGTGGGTGTTTTGCCATAGTTTCAGAGTAAGAACTTTTTGAAACTACAAGAATATTCTAGTGTTGATGATCCTGAAAGTCCTATCTTTTTATAGTAAGGTGATGATGACTTAAATATCAGGGCTGGAAAGGGGTATCGACAAAATTTTATAAAAACACATATCTAAACAGGTGGGGAGAGGGGGCAATTGCTTTCTAACTAAGAGGGTGGGGGAAGAGTTAGAGTGATTCCAAAAGAGGTAATTAAGTAAACAACCGGAAATATGTAAAAGAACAGACGAATTAGCAATAAACAAAAAAATTACGTGTAATACAAATAGTTATTTTTCCTCGATTGTTAAACTAAAAGGTGTCTTCTGCTACAAATTGTTTTCCTGTTAGTTGGTTAGGAGCGCTATTTCATAATCATGACACTTTCTCAACAATATATGTTGCAATGGAGGGAGGAACAGTATCCTCTTGTTTAATTCGACTACGCATTAAAGTGCGAGAGATAATAACATGGCTGACTTTCCTTAATATTACTAAAAAAACTGAAGAAACTGGAGTTAATATGACTTAGGTTTCGTTAGTTGCCTCAGGTGAGTTTAATTACTACGACCCATTAAGTTATTAAGTTAATAAAGTATAGTATATTGTTTTGGAATACATTTCAATAAAATGAAATTGAAACATTGAAACGAGTTGATTGCAGTTTTTAAGGCGTATATTGCTTTTTTGCAACATGATTACTCATCCAACTGCTACGTCGTCTTGGCTGGCTTCATTAAGCTGAGACTACGAAGGATATCAGTTATTTAACATTCGGATCATTTGCATGCTACTGACAAAGCTTTGACACATATGACAGCATGATTTGTTAACTAACGAATGTGTCTTTGTTTTGAGACCTAAGCTAGGAAGGTTTTTTTTGAGTAATAAGTTTCTTCTCGCAACTCTTCAGACTCGTCTTAGATCACAGTTAATCAAAAGGTGTGGATATTTTTTGCTCTGGTCCGGCAAACATGTTCGATTGGTCTCAGACCTAATAGTCCGCACTTCCTCTAAACCATCGCTAAACTCTTTTCTGTTTGACTGTGTATTTGCGATTCACTGCAAACCAGCTGCCGTTTCTACCTTAATATCGGGTCAGTAGTTTCAATTAACTTTCTTCCACTTGACTGACGAACTTCGACACTTACAAAGCTCGACCTATCGCGTTTCGGTTGAAAGGAAAATGAATTCAAATTTCTGAGTGATCAGAATCCCTTGCTGGTGAGATTTCAGACATTATGAGCACGACTTAGGGACTTTTTTACTATTGACGCGGAAAAATCAACAGCTCACTTTAACCCAACTGCCATCGAAGGAAGAACAATGGAACACTGAAAACGTTTTGGGAATGTTCAGAGAAAACAATTATTGACAGTGTCAGCGTTACTCAAAAAAGAAGACATTTGCAGAGCTCTTCAAAAGTTCTACACAAAATAGCTGGAAATCGCTAACGGTTTGTGTACGGTTCTTGTCGTTAACTGCTTCATCAACGCCATCTTGTCTTTCACTGCCATCGTGTTAAACATCATAACAATACAAGCGCTCAGGAAAACTTCGTCGTTGTCGAAGACTTTAAAAACATTGCTACTAAGCCTTGCTATCTCTGATGTGGGTGTTGGTTTAGTTGTCCAGCCACTGTATGTTGCAAGTCAAGCGATGAAGATAGAACAAAACACGGACAATATTGCTTTTCATACAGTAGAGAAAGCCTATTTTATCCAGAGCATACTATTTGGTTTTGCTTCGTATTTTGGTGTTGTCTTGTTAACTGTTGACAGGTTCTTGGCGATTCATCTTCATCTCAGATATCAGGAACTTGTGACTTACAAACGTGTTGTAGCCGTAGTGATTTCAGTCTGGTTGTTAAGTGCATTAATTAGCTTCCTCAGTTCGGGTATGGCTCAAGTGGCTTTGTCCATTGTATTAGGAACCATTTTAGTTGTATGTGTCGTAATTACAGGGATACTTTATTGCAAGATATACGCAGCAGTGAGACATCACACAAGTCAAATACACGCTTTGCAGGTACAGCAAGAAGCACAGAACGAAGACATGGCGAATGTTGCAAGGCAGAGAAAAACTGCACTTGCTACTTTCTATGTTTATGTGGTGTTTTTAGCTTGCTATTTGCCAATATCCGGTGTTCAGCTTGCCACGATCAGTGGTGAAACCGCCTTGCTATCGAATTTATGCTATTTTACAATGACTCTTGTGCATCTAAATTCATCCCTCAATCCCTTGATCTACTGTTGGAAGATGAGACACATTCGACAAAAGGTTATGGATATACTTCGAAATATCCTTGCGATTGATCCGCATTAAACAAAGAATCTAACTCAGAATAACTCGCCTTTTTCCTTCGACGAAATAAGAGCGTTTCAGCAATACAGTGGGAATTGACACTTAACAAATAAACGGGACCTGAAAGCTCTTGCAGTTTAAAAACCAAAGATATATATACAAGAATATGATCGAGTATAGGTTCATGAGATTTGACATCAGTTTCCTTTGGAATAATAAACAGATAAGGGAAGCTCTCAAACAAAATTTCTCAAAGCCAGGGAGAGGGTAAAATGCTAAGTGGCTTATTATGAATATGTGACTTTAAATCAATACATAGAGCGCCAAAGTTAATTTTCCAAATTTCGTGGGAAAAAAGGTTTGTGTATAGTAAAGAGTGTTAAAACGTCTACTAGACTTTGCTAACCATAGGTCATGCAATCAACAACCAACAAAAGAGAGAGCAAAACTATATCAATAAAATCTTCCATACTGAATGTAACAAGAGTGATGAAATGACCTACAGTTATGATAATGACTGATAACAAGAACAACAACCCTTGCTTCCATAGCAACTTCCGTATTGCATTCTATAACCTTTATTTGCTTTGTATAAGCTATTTATGCATTCCTCCTAGATTAATCAGAAAAGCCATATTTTGTCGTAAATTGTAAATTGTAAATATCTTATTATCCACTCCCCTCAGGGCTTTTCAGGGATAATTTACAACACTGGTTGGGGGACTTTGCCAGACTGCTTAAGATGCAGTTTACAAGTAATGAAGGAATGAGTAATGATGCCTCCATACATGATTGTGAAGGTGAGATAGACCACTACACCGGGCACTATGTGCCCTAATCGTTACGAAGGATAACGTTGAAACTTTACACAAGACCGTGATTAATATTTTTAGAGGAATTTAGAAAGATAATCGCTTAATGAATAATAACAATAATTATAATAATCATAATGATCATGAAAACGGTGATGAAGACATCGAAGACGCTTATGTGCACTGGCCGAGGTTACTCCCTATACGATGCTATCTTTTTTTATAGAGTAAAGTGAAAAAACTATTTAAATAGCTGGTCTGGAAATGGGTATCGACTTAATTTTAAAAAAGTTACCGCCGTTAGCCGGGGGGGAAATTTGCCTTATTTACCTAGGGTAAAAGCTAATGGGGCGGTACAGAGAGGGGGGGTGAGGGAAGAATTAAGAGCGAGTCCAAAAAATTGACTGTAGTAACCAAAAATATGTAACAGAACGACAGAATTAACAACAAAGAAATAAAAACACAGTTATTTTTCACGCTTAAACTAAAGAGTATATTCTTGTCTTGTCTAGGCATTCTTTCTCCTGTTTGAAGATGATTAGGAGCGGTCGTGGGGGGAAACGGTATCCTCTTGTTTTTCTATACTACCCATTCAATTGTGAGCAATTTTGAAGTTTCATTATAATATTAAACTGAAGCCGAAACTGGAGTTAATATGACTTAAGTTTTGGTATCTGCCTCGGATGAGTTAAATCAACACGAACTATTCGGTTAATAAGCCGTAACAATGACAACAACCATTTTATTCCACATGACCTGAAAAAGTTTACAAGTAATAAATTAAAGTAAACTGAAAAGGAAACATTTCACACAACCAGCAGTTAGCTTAAGCTAATCGAGGCGGGAGGTGTTTTCTATCATACATCTTCAATAAAATGAAATTTGAAACATAATTTCGAAGTTGATTGTATAGTTTAGACGACATGGGATATTTTAAACATTCTGATCAGTTATTTGAAACTTCAGTTTTACGTATACTGTGTCTGTTGTCTGTTTTTTTTTTTAAGGGTGATAAGTCTTTTCTCTCACCCTCCAACTCGTCTTAGATCAGTAGATAGTTTTTGCTTGGGTCAAGCAAAAACGTTGGATTATTCTCCAAATTAATGGTCCGCAATCCTCTAAACCATTGCTAAACTCTTTCTGTTTGACTCTGTGTTTACGATTCACTGCAAACCAGCTGCCGTTTCTAGTTTAATATTACGTCAGTAGTTTCAAATAACTTTCTACCATTTGACTGACAAACTTCAACTGTTACAAAGCTCGACCTATCGCGTTTCGGTTAAAAAGAAAATGAATTCAAATTTCTGTGGCTAGTCAATAAAAAAATATCATGATAAATTCTTTCTTTTTTAAATATAATTATTTAGGAATAATACAAGAATATTATCAGCCTAAAATAGGCAGAAAAAAAAGCAATATTCAGCCTGGGCCAGGAAAACAACATTCTTATAAAAAAGAAAGAGGGTGTATCAAACTGAAGAAACTGGAGCTAATAAGACTTACCTCTTATTAGCTGCCTCAAAGTTAATAAAGGATAGTGTATTTTTTTGAATACATTTTCATAGTTTCCAAGTTGATTGAAGTTTAAGGCACATTTTGCTTTTTGCAACCCGATTACTCATCGAACTGTGCCGTCATGATACGTAAATATTCCGATCATTTGCGATTAAACTTTGACATATATTAAGGACCGGATGATCTATTGTCTTTGTTTTAAGCGCGCCCTAAGTTTTTGTTATGGGTTAAGAGTTTTTTTCTCTTCATCCTCCTCACACTCTTTGGGTCGCGCGTGACCACGTAGTTTATCATGGAAAAAATGTGTGCACGAGTCCAGGAAATACATTGGATTGGTTTGCGACTGAAAAGTCTGTTTTCTCCTCAAGGATCGCTAACTCTTTCTGTTTAACTGTGTATTTTGCGATTCATAGCAAACCAACTGCCGTTGCCATTTTGATAGTGCGTAAGTAGTTTCAAACAATTTTCTTCCATTTGACTGACGAACAAAGCTCTACCTATCGCATTTCAGATAAAATGAAAATATATTCAAATTGCTGTATGATGATGAGGACGTCACATTTAAATGTTAAATTCCGGACTCAGACATGCACAGTTTTAATTTCAAGTATTCGGGTGAGAGTTTGGATCTTATGAACACGGCTTTTTTCGATTGTGGCGGAAGACAACAGTAATCCGTTTAAACCAATTACCAAGGGAGGAAGAAGAGAATTGCCGGCAGGAGAATATTAGATAAGTCTAGCAAAGAATTTTTTCTTTGTGTTATTAAAGTACAGGATTGCTTTATTGCAAAGTATACGTAGCCGTAAGACACCACACAGGTACAAGTAGCACAGAATGGAGATATGGCAAACGCTGTAAGGGTCAAAAAATCTACACTTGCTACATTTTACGTGTATGTGGTGTTTTTAGTTTGTTAATTGCTAATATCTTGTGTGGTTTTTGCCAAGACCAATGGTGAAACCACCTTGTTATCTCATTTATGGTATTTCACATTGACTCTTGTGTTTCTCAATTCATCCATCAATCCTTGATCTACTGTTCGAACATGAGACACATTTGACAAACTGTTATGGATCATATATGATTGGTTCGTAATAAAAAAGAACTAATTCAGAATATTTTTCTCTGGTGAAAAAAACCTTTTCAGCAATACAGTTGGAAAAATGACCCTTATTAGTTATGACCAAGATATAATATAATCGAGTATAAGCTCAAGGATCTTAAGCAGCGACGTTTTGGAGCGATGCACGTCAACCGGAATTCAGAATTTGATGGACAAAAAGTTCTGTATACAATAAAATGTCTTAAAAAGTTTAATAGATTGTTTTTAACAACAGTCCACTGATACAATTAAATCAACAAATTTTCGATATACTGAATGTAACAAGAGTGGCGAAAAGACCTACCGTTGTAATAGAAGTGAGAGCCTCAAATGCATTGTTAGTTACTGCTGTTCACGTGAAAATGAAACTTGGAGACAATACCCCTGAATAATGAGAGGCCCTTGTTGTTAACACGAAATTTCGACAGAAAATTAGCGAGTTGTATCCCTTACCTTAAGTAGACCAGTAGACCAAAATGTTTACAAAATCGCTGATAAGAGCGCCTCAATACTAATTAACCAAATCCTTCACCTTTCAAGCAATCGGCTAAAGCTATCCCCATGATCACATGATTGAAACTGCCATGAGGTGAAATCGCATTTGAAAAGTGCTTCGTTTTCTACAGATAACGACCGAACATCAAGCGGATTGTCCAGTCATTATCGTATTTCTGACCATAAAATCTCCATTCCAAAATACCTCGCTAACACTCTCACAGATTTTACTTAAACTTAACGGACATCGATCAAGCAGACATCGGAGAAAAAACAGGAGGAAAATGCCCCCGTAAACGATTTTGAAAGAAAAGTTCCCAGTGCCGAGAAATACAGCTGCAAGTAAAGTAGCTAATGGCGTCATTTTGTTGCTATGACAACTCCGATGTCATTGTAATCCTGATCATAACAAATTCTCAACTTTCAACACTAACAAAGCTCGGCCATTCGCGTTTCGTTTAAAATGAAAATAAATCCAGATTTTGGTGTAATGATGTTGTTATATATTTCAAATTCTTTTAATTTCAAATAAGTGGATATTTCGGATGTTATGAGTATGGGATACTGGCAACTTTTTGCGATTGTAAACTTTATTGTTTCGCAAATTTCAGTCTCATCCATAAAAGAAAACACTCGCAGAGCTCTTCAAAAGTTATAGCGTACCTGTACACGTAGGCAGGCAACATGCGTTGGCTGGTACCGTCGGAGTCGCGCCATTCCGTTCACCAAAAATATTTGTTAATGACTGTATGTCAGGAATGGTGTACTTAACTATTAAAAGGACAAAAAGCATTGTAGTTAATTTTTTTGTGACTTCTGAGCAACAGAGGAGACGATGTTTTTACAAACATAGCTCTTAAAGGTCACTCAAGTCAAGCCAACTTTATTCAGGCAGGGCAGCCCTATCAGCCATTGGCCGGTATCAAAAAGGGGCCCCCCGTACAGTCGTCGTGAAGGGTTATATCGGGTTTTTATTGTCGGCAGGTCTAAGCTTTTTGCCATAGATTTTTGCAAAAAATACTACATAATAAATAAATAAATAACAAAAAACCGTGCCCAAAATAAAAAAAATAAGATAAACGAATCTATGTTTCCGCGATTCCTAAAAACACTTGTTTGGGCTCAATAAATTTTGATTGGACTTGATGTCAATATATTTTCATAATGATGCCTTTAATAAGTTTCTTTGTCAAAATTAGTTTACAACAGTTCTTGGCAGCCTCTTTTTAACCAGAATACTAAGTAGGTTCTTTCTATTCTTTATATCATTTTAGTATAAACACACCCAGTGATCTTGGTAATTCAAGCAATCTGATTGGTTAGCTATCTCGGACTATGACGTTATATTCACCGTGCTAGGCGGTGAATATAAAGCAGAACAAAATTGCTTTCATGAACTGGGTGTTTTGCCAAAGTTTTATAGTAAAGCCTTTTTGAAAATACACGAATATCCAACTGCTGATGACTTTGAAGGCAAGAAAAGACTTCATGGTGTTTAAACAGCGTGATTTATCGTGAAGTGGTTTACTGTAGCTGACTTTTTGTACGCTCGAAGCTATGTTTACTACTACAGAATCGAACAGAAGAAAACGAGGTCGCTTTGTCACTGTTTTGTGATTTCGGGATTTTCTCGCAAGACCAATTTTGCCTATAAATAGAAGTTAATTTATGGAGAAAGAAGGAAAGCAAATATTTTCGAAAATTGTACGTGCCAGCAAGTTAACAAGGTAAAGAACACTGGAGATAAACAACGCTCACCTTGATCGTAGCCGCTGTTGACAGCATTTGCAAGAAGCGACCAAGAAAACTTTCTCACTTTGAGTTGACAGAAACAAATAAAGCTCTTCTTTTCTTCTCAGAATTGGGTAGTAATTTCAATTTTCGGCGTTTTCTTTTAAACCGTTGATGCTTAAGCTTACAAAACTAGATACAAAAAGATTAAAACTGCCATTTGCCATGTTTGAAGATACTGTAAAGATCTAACTTTTGCGCACCCACCACTGTTTACGGCTTCGTGTTCACACATGAATTCACCCGTCAATCAAACTAATCGTTTTTTAATGGTTTCTTTTCCGATTCTGTTGAGATCACGTCGTGTGAATATACTAAAACAATTATTCACCTCAGGCTCAGTTAATATTCCCCTCGACTTCGTCTAGGGTAATATTCAACAAAATTAACTTCGCCTTCGGCGAATAATTGTTAAATAACCTTTTTTCTGGCATTTATCATATCCTCAAAAACTCCAATTGCGTCATTATGCCTTATCTTAACTGAGCTTATTAATTGTTAAGCTCGATCTATCATTCTTATCAAAAGAAAATTTTATTCAGAATTGAATGTGTTATTATGTGGCTACATTAACTTGTTTGAAATTTTTTGTTAAGGGAATTCTTGGTGTTCAAACGTCTTGATATTTAACACTGTCTAGTAAGTGGACAATTTCAAGATTACCAAAGTACGGAAGAGGACAAGCTAGGTCGCTCAGCCATGCAATAATTTAAGGAAGAATGTGAACCACATTCTGAACTTTTGGAGACCGATCAGGTTACTTACCAAACGCAAGAGCGTCTGCCTGTCAAAAGACGTCAACAGTTCTTCAAAGGAACAGTCTATATAATGGCAGAAGAAACTAAAGACGCGTTTTCAACATCCTACAGAATGGCCGAAACTGGAGACTTTTATTCAACGCTCGTCGCCAACTACTTCTTCAATGCTTTCTTGCTTTTCACAGCCTTGGTTTTAAACATCATAACAATACGAGCCCTAAGAAAAATATCATCGTTTCCAAAGCCTTTAAAAACATTACTCCTAAGTCTCGCTATTTCTGATCTTGGTGTTGGTTTGATTGTCCAGCCTCTCTATATTGCAGGTGTTATAATGACAATAGAACAGAGTGCTAACAAAAGTCTTCATTATACGTTATACACAGCGCAGCGCCTTTTTGGCTATTTACTGTGTGTTGCTTCATTCTTGGGCATCATTGCTTTAACTGTCGACAGATTCCTAGCTATTCATCTTCATCTCAGGTACCAGGAACTTGTGACTCACAACCGTGTTGTTGCTGTAGTAATTTCAGTTTGGGTCCTCTGTTTATGTATTTCCTTATTTGCGTTTAACAGGATTTTAGAAAAAGTTCTGGTCATTATAATTGCAACCTTTGGGGCAGTTTGTTTCATTACAACGGGATTAATTTACTTCAAGATATACTCAATCGTACGTCACCACACAAATCAGATTCACGCCCTGCAATTGCAACCTGTAGGACAGAATCAGAATGGAGAATTGGCAAATGCTGCAAGACTGAAAAAAACTACACTTGCTACATTTTACGTGTATGTGGTGTTTGTGGTTTGTTTTTTGCCCTACATATGCGTTAAAGCAGCTGATCGAATTTATGGTGAGTCCGAGTTGCGGTTGCATCTGCTTTATTATTCGACGACACTTGTGTATCTTAATTCATCTCTCAATCCTTTAATCTACTGCTGGAAGATGCGAAACATTCGAAAAGCTGTGATCAGTGTACTTCGCAATATCTTTCAAGGACAGTAAAACTCCATTCGAACCACTTCGCCGATGAGACTTTTACCCTCTGTCCCCCAGAAGAAAAAGGAAATTTCATATTACTAACATGAATTTTATTGAACTAACAGAAATAATAATGATTTAGTGGTAGCGGTTCTTCGTTTACCGTTCCTAGTCGAGTTGGAATTTAGAAATGAGTACTCCGAGAAAAACTTCTCAGGGCAAAGGAAGGAACAACGTCAAACTCAAACCACATTTGGACCTCGACGGCGGAATTTGAACCTGGGCCACACTGGTGGAAGGCGAGTGCTCTCACCACTTCTTCACCCTTGCTACCTAGTCGTATTGGTCGCTGAATGATCGATCTAGTGCGTTTCACAAACACCCGTCAGAACATTTCCGGGCTATTGTTCGATCCTGGTCTTAGCAATCATGACGCCCACGCACCAACAAAAACTGGTATAGTAAGATAGTTAAAAGATTTTCAGTCCTCTGGTTAACATCAACCATCACAGATCAAATCATAAAGCGATCTGAAGAAAGCAAAAGCAACAAAAATAGACGGCATTGGCGCGTATATCATCAGTTAAGAAACTGCGTGAACTGTGCTATTAAGGCTTTGGAACAACTTCTGAGCAACTTTCATTACAAAAAGCAACTTTTGATTGTTATTTGGGTAACGTTTTGAAAAATTACGGGAAACGTTTTGAAAAATCTCGAGCAACTTGTGGAAAGCCCTATGTATATATCTGCCCAGCCTGAAGTAAGCCCTTACTAAAGGCTTGCATTTGACACTTGTTTTCTTCAACGTAAATATTCCGATCATTTGCGATTAAACTTTGACACATATTAAGGACCGGATGATCTATTAACTAACTAGGCTACTGTGTCTTTGTTTTAAGCGGACCATAAGTTGAGTTTTTTCTCTTCATCTCCTCACACTCTTTGGGTCGCACGTGACCATGTAGTTTATCAATGAAAAAATGTGTGCGTGAGTGCAGGAAATACATTGGATTGGTTTGCGACTTAAATGTCTGTTTTCTTCTCAAGTATCGCTAACTCTTTCTGTTTAACTATGTATTTTGCAATTCATAGCAAACCAACTGCCGTTGCCATTTTAATAATGCGTCAGTAGTTTCAAACAATTTTCTTCTATTTGACTGACGAACAAAGCTCGACCTATCGCATTTCTGTTAAAATATTGCTGTATGATGATGAGGACGTCACATTTAAATTTTAAATTCCGGGCTCAGACAAGCACAGTTTTAATTTCAAGTATTCAGGTGAGAATTTGGATCTTATGAACTCGACTTAGGGACTTTTTTCGATTGCGGCGGAAGACATAACAGTAATCACACATTCGACAAACTGTTATGGATATACTTCGAAATATCCTTGCGATTGGTTCGTAATAAAAAAGAACTAATTCAGAATACTTTTCTCTGGTGAAAAAAACCTTTTCATCAATACAGTTGCAAAAATGAGACTTATTAGTTATAACCAGGATATAATATAATCGAGTATAAGCTCAGGGAGTTTAAGCAGCGACGTTTTCGAGCGATGCACGTCAACCGGAAGTGTTTACTGCACTCTTCTGCCGTGATTTTGAACAAATACTTGAACAAATCGTCTCTTTAAGAGTAAAGACACTTAGCAATACAAATTTGGTTTAGCATCAAGGCATGTTGAAAGAGAAAAAGGATCACTTCCGGTTGACGTACGTCGCTCAAAAACGTCGATTAAGAGACTACAGAAACTCTGAAACTATAAATGTATTTAAGTCGAAAAGGGGCTGAAAATGCTGAGTAATTTAAGATGAATGAGTAACTTAAAATCAATAAATAGAGGGCAGAGCAGTTTCAGAATTTGATGGACAAAAAGGTCTGTATACAAAAACATGTCTTAAAAAACAATAGTCCACTGATACAATTATATCAACAAATTTTCCATACTGAATGTAACAAGAGTGGCGAAAAGACGTACCTAATAGACCTAATGGAAGTGAGAGCCTCAAATGCACTGTTAGTTGCTGCTGTTCACGTGAAAATGAAACTTGGAAACAATACGCCTGAATAATGAGAGGCCGCTACGTTTAACACGAAATTAGCAAATTTATTTTAATACCTTACAAGTTATCAATAATCTTGAAACTCAAAGGTCATATAAAACGACGTTTAATCTCGAAAATCTTAAATTTTTTTTTAAAGACTATCTAGCTGTTTCAAAATTATTCGCTTACCGTGAAATTCCGAAAATAAGGCCCTCCAAATATAAGCCCCACAAACTCATAACGCAAAAAACCCTCCGTTAAATCGCACCTCCGAGTATAAGCCCCCCAGGGGCTTGTACTTGGAAATTGCCCTCAAATATCAAGCAAAACAAAGCAAAAAAGGGTAAATTTCCTTCCAACTATAAAGCTAGCCCAATCGATTTTGAAACGCAAATTTCCCTCCATAGATAAGCCCCTCCGAATATAAGCCCCCCCAAAAATAAGCACCTCTAAGAGGGCCTTTGAAAAATATAAGCCCCGGGGCTTATTTTCGGAATTTTACGGTATTTGTTTAAGTAGACTAAAATGTTTACAAAACCGCTGATGAGAGCGCCTCAATGCATACTAATCAAATCCTTCACCTTTCAAGCAATCGGCTAAAGCTATTCCCATGATCACACACGTTTTCAAAATGATTGTAACTACTATGAAGTGAAATTGCATTTCAAAAGCTCTTCTCTTTCTACAGACAACGGCCGAACATCAAGATTGTCCAGTTTTAACCGTATTTCTAACCATAAAATCTCCATTCCAAAAAATCTGGATAACGATCTCAAAGATTTTGCTTAAACTTAACGGACATCGATTGTAGCAGGTATTGGAGGAAAAAGCTCCCGCGAACGATTTTGGAAGAAAGGTTCCCAGTGCTGAGAAATACGGCTGCAAGTAAAATAGGTAATGGCGTCATTTCATTGCTTTGACAACTCCGATAGCATCGTAACCCTGGGCCCGGTTCCTCGAAAGATGGTTAAGTTTAACCCAGGATTAACCCGGATTTTAATCAAGGTTTTCTTGTCTAAGAACAGGTCACTCGAGCTTACAAAATACTGTGGCGTCTTTACTTCGAGATTCAGTGATGATAATACAGAATGTTTCTCTAAGCAATGCATAGGAAGGTAAATACGAAAATGGAACAAAATTTTTAATCCTGGATTAGCGCTAATCGGCCTTTCGGGAACCGGGTCCTGATGATAACAAATTTTCATTCGTCATCTAATACAGCTGTGGTAGTATTTTTTTTCCAGATCTTTGTTAAGAGAAACATAGTTTATTCTCAAATTTGAGAGGTATTGACCCTGAAAAACCCCATCGAGCCACCTTAATATATTGCGTTGGTAGTCTCAAATAAATTTCTCCTACTTGACTGACGAACTTTAACATTTACAAAGCTCGACCTTGTGCGTTTCGGTTAAAGTGAATTCAAAATAAATCCAAATTTTGGTGTAATGATGTTGTCGTATTTAAATTCTTTTCACTTTAAATAAGTGCATGGATATTTCGGATGTTATCAGTATGGGAACTTCTTGGGACTGTTCACTTTATTGTCCCACAAATTAGAGTCTCACCCCGAAAAGAAAACATTCGTGGAGCTCTTTCAAAGTTATAGAGTTACAGACTGTATAGAGTACCTGTACACGCAGCGCAGGCACCATGCGTTGGCATAAATAAATAAATAACAAACAACATTGCCCCCCCCAAAAAATAAAGAAAAAGAAAAAAAAATCATATTTCCGCGATTCCTATAAACACCTGTTTGCACCCAATAAATTTTGCTTGGACGTGATGTCAATATGTTTTCATACATATGCCTTTTAATAAGTTTCTTAGTCCCAATTAAGTTGCAACAATTTTTGTTAGCCACATTTTATCCAAAATACTAAATAGGTTCTTTATATTCTTTATATTATTATTACCTTTTCTCTAACATCTATCATATCCTCAAAAACTCCAATTGCGTCAGTATACCTTACCTTAAAATAAATTTGAACGTCTGGAAGTTTATTAATTGTTAACCTCGATCTATCATTCGTATCAAAAGAAAATGTTATTCAAATTTGAAAGTGTTATTTAAGCAACAGAAAAAGTCTTCCGTGTTTGCATAGCCTGATATAAACACGACAGGGTTGGGAGAATTCGAGACAGTTATGCAAGCCCGAGGCGAAGTCGAGGGTTTGCACATTAACTTTCGAGAATTCTCCCAACGCCTCGAGTGTTCATATCAGGGTTCTTGTTTTGCAAAGAGATGCTTTCCAAAATACCGACTTTTCTCGCTTAAAAATGTCAGCTTAAGCGAAAAGAAATTGACACACTTTCTTTGTAACGATTTTCCAAGTTTCAGCCGACGAAGGAATGGGTAAATAAAGTAAACTTGTCGAGTTTTGAACTTGAAAACGTTTTTAAATTCGTGCTTGCGTGATTAGCGCGCGAGAAGCAAAACATCTTGACGCCACAACCATGTTTACATACTCTCATGCAAACACTCCTCTCAGCCAATAAGAGCGCGCGTACTATCTTAGTTATTTTATAAAAAGTAGTAAGTGGCTACATAAACTTTTTTTGATCTTTTACGTTAAGAGAATTCTTGCTGTTCGAAAGTCTTGATATTTCTGTCTAGTTAGTGGACAATTTCAAGATTAACTGACGGCAAGAGAGGATAAAGGGGACAGAGAAGGCATCCCCCATACACACCCTATTCCACAGGTAATACTTCTCGAGCTATTTTTAACACCACAGATCTCAAGGAGGATTAGACAACAGCCAATCACATAGTGCGACTGTGTTCCGCGTGGATGACCCACACTCAGAGCCACGCGTTCTTCAAGAATTGACGCAGAACAAAATGGCGGAAGACACGAAGAGCGATATTGCTATTCGTTTTGTCGACGAAAACGACTACAGAGAGATTTCTGCTAAAGCTGTGTCACCGAAACGGAAATTAAAAAAGAATCGCCCCTCCTCTTTTGTATAGAGCTAACAGTACAGGGGGGAAATCCTTAACACACTGAATATTCTCTCAGGATCATTTATAATTTACAGTTTGAAGAGAGCAATTTCTGGTTTGATATTTATTCTTTTATTAGTCTTTTATTATTTAACAAAAATAACATTTGGCGTCCTACTTGCTTTATTGTACAAACGACCGGTTTCAATAGACCGGCGAAATTTCTCGTTTTATTAAAGTACTGAGGTTACGACAACTTCGAGTTAAATTGATTTCACGCTTTGTCAAAGAGTCCAGCGATTCCCATTTCCCAGGTGAGCGCCGACTCATTTCGCTTCAATATTCAGGAATGCTCTCTATCTCTTAACGCTTTCATTGCCTTTCGCCCGACATGTTTTGGACGGCGTTTAGTCATGCGAAACCTCCACGAAACATCCACGCAGCGCGCGAGGTAATTTTATCCCGATTCTAAAAATAACTCGAGACGAATTACCTATGGAAGGTTGTATATGGGGGATGCCTTCTTTGTCCCCTTTATCCTCTCTTGCTGACGGAAGAGGAAAAGGTCCTGAAGGTCGCTTGGCCATTCGATAATTTAAGGAAGAATGTGAACCACCTTCTAAACTATTGGAGACCAATCAGGTGACTTAGCAAAGACGAGACGTCAACATTTCTTTAAAGGAATAGTCTATATAATGACAGAATCTAAAGACACATTTTCAACATCCTTCAGAATGGTAGGAATTGAAGGCTTTTATTCAACGCTCGTCGCCACCTGCTCCTTCAACGCTTTCTTGCTTTTCACAGCCTTGGTTTTAAACATCATAACAATACAAGCCCTAAGAAAAATACCATCTTTTCCAAAGCCTTTAAAAACATTCCTCATAAGTCTCGCTGTTTCTGATCTTGGTGTTGGTTTGCTTGTCCATCCTCTCCATATAGCACGTCTTTTAATTGCAGTAGAAAGCGCTAACCAAAGACTCTATAATACGCGGTATACACAGCGCACGGCCTTTTTGCCAATTTATTGTGTACCGCCTCATTCTTGGGCATTTTCGCTTTAACTGTCGACAGATTCTTAGCTATTCATCTTCATCTAAGATACCGGGAACTTGTGACATACAGACGTGTTGTTGCTGTAGTAATTTCAGTTTGGGTGATCAGTTCATGTATTTCCTTATTTGTGTTGAACACGATTTTAGAAAACGTTTTGGACATCATAACTATAACTTCTGGGGCAGTTTGTCTCACTATAACGGGATTAATCTACTGCAAGATATATTCAATCGTACGTCACCACACAAATCAGCACGCCCTGCAATTGCAGGAAGTATCACAGAATCAGAATGGAGAAATGACAAATGCTGCAAGGCTGAAAAAAACTGAACTTGCTACATTTTACGTGTATGTCGTGTTTTTGGCTTGTCTTCTACCCTTCCTTTGCGTCAGAACTGCTATTCGAATGCATGGTGAGTCTGTCTTGCGGATACATCTGCTTCATTATTCAATGACACTGGTGTTTCTAAATTCATCCCTCAATCCTCTGATCTATTGCTGGAAGATGAGAAACATTCGGAAAGCTGTGAAGAGTGTACTTCGTAATATCTTTCAAAGTCAGTAAAGCTACAAATCGAGCCTCTTGGACGATGAAGTTGTACTTTCTCCCTCAGAAAAAAAAATAGAAATTTTATATCGCGTATTAAATAAATAAATAAATAAATAAATAAATAAATAAATAAATCACGATTTAGAGGGAGCACATCCACGTAGTCCTTCGTCTACAATAATTCCTGGTCGAACTGGAGTTTGGAAAAGTGGAAAATCGGAGTATTTGGAGAAGAACATCTCGAAGCAAAGGAGAGAACAACCAGAAACTCAACCTACATGAATGATCGATGTAGTGTTCAGAAACACCCATAAAAACATTACCGCGGCTGGAGTGTTCGATCCTGGACGTAGTGATCATGACGCCCACGCACCAAGTAAAACTCGTGTAGTTGGAGGATTTTAGTCCCTTGGATGACTTCAAACATTGCAGATCAACAAGTAATCCTAAAGCAACAAGAACAATCGGCATTGGAGCATATGATATCGTGAGGTTAGACCACGTTTAACTGATTAACTGAAGGCTAACTGAATCTGATTACTACAGATCATATTCAAGAAAGTCAAGAAAATGACAAGCAATTTTGAAGGGCGCTCAGAATGTCTTAACGCTCATCTAAGACCTGCAACAGTCTCAAGTATGGATACTGATGGAGCTCTTGCCTCCGGTCTCCACCGACTCCACTATTTCCGCTTTGAACTCTTTTCACGTAAGCATCGTTAGAAACCTCGCCAAGGCTTCCTTGATGTATCACAATCCGCTCAGCCTGAAGTAAGCCCTGACTTTTCTAAGCGTGATTATTCATTGAACTGCTATGTAGTAATGGCTGATCATTAATGCCTTAGTAAACTTATGGTTTCATAAACTTTGGAGATAAGACTGAGGTGAACACACAAAAGCACTGGTCACTCGGTAAATAATTACGCATCATGCACTTCCGCAAATAGGCGCCGGGGAAATTGCGAGGTGTCGTCAGGCTGAAAAATAAGGGGGGAGGAGTAAGAGCAAGTTCAAACTGATAAAGAATCATAATAACTTAAAATGAGTGACAGAACAACAGCGTTATGTTGTGAAGTATTTTGAAAGTTATTTTTAAGACGGATCTATCTTATCTTTAGTTTAGTTTTTGTTTCATTAAGTCTTGTTTTGTCCTCGTACTGTTTTCCTGTTTTGATCTTTTGCTTTTACTTGTTCTTGAATTTATGCTTAAGTTCGCGAATTTACTTATTGCCATATTAGGAATGTTATTAGCTTGGCATTGTCAGATGTTAGTTTTTTACAGGTGGTCTTGTTTGTGGTGTTAGAGCTGATTTTGGTTCTTTTGTACTTGCCAGTTGCGGCTGTGTTAGGCTAATCTATTCCCTTACATTAGCAAACCTGTTGCCATGTTAGCGATGAGATATTCAATTATACTGAAGGTCTACCGGTCAGCTAACCCAAACATGTCCAGCTTTGGATATAAAAACTGCTACTATACTTAAACTAGTAAGTAGAGAAGAGTCGAAATGTAGAAAAGAGTTAGAAGAGTAGGAAGATTAAGATTGTTAGCAGAAGTCAAAGAAGAATAAAGGCCAAGATGTAAGTCAGATTCCTGGCACCTCATCGTGTAGCGAGCGAGTTGCTCGAACACACCCCCACAGTTAACAACAGAGAAGTAAACAAAAAATTAAGGAAAAATCGCTAATTTTTCACGATTCTTAAACTGTAAAAGAGACATTCCCCTCTTGCGTACAAACTGGTTTTCCTGTTAGCTGGTTGGAATTACCTTGAACTATAACGTTATTAAGTTAATAAAAGCATAGTAAAATGGCATTGAAAAAAATAGTTTCCAAGTTGATTGTAGGGTTGTGGTTAAAGGCATAAATCACTTTTGCAACATCATTACTTATCGAATGAATTGCCACGTCATGATGACTGGTTTCATAAAGTTGGGACTAAAAGGGATATTTTATAGATTCTGATCATTTGCAATTGATTAAACTTTGACACATATGACAGCAAGATTTGTCAAGTAACTACCTCCTGTGTCTTTGTTTTAAAACCTTAGCTAGTAAGTTTTTTTTTTTTTGGGGGGGAGGGGAACAAGTTCCTTCTTTCAACTCAAAAGAGTCGTCGTAGGTTGTAGTTACTCAAAACATGTGCCTATTTTTCGCTTGGGTCTAGCTAACATGTAGGATTGGTCTCAGACCTAATAGTCCGCATTTCCTCTAAACCATCGCTGAACTCTTTCCTGTTTGACTGTGTATTTACGATTCATTGAATTCTACTTTGATATCGCGTCAGTAGTTTCAAAGACTACGAGTAGTTCCCATTTTTCCTCAGGGATAGTAGAGCGAGCGAAACGCGAGCGCGCGTTCAAATCACCCCACACGAGAAAGGCGAGACGCAGCGGTGAGAGAGAAAAGTGCTCATCGTTCGATCAGTGTTCGATCCTGGTCTTAGTAATCATGTGGCTCACGCACCAACTAAAACTCGTATAGTTAGAGGATTTTCAGTCCCCTGGATGACATCAACCATCGCATATCAAATCTGAAAGCTTGATTATAATCTGAAGAAAGCTAAAAGCAACCAGAATAGACGGCATTGTCGCATACAGCTAAATCAAAAAAGGTTGCTTTGGTAATTAGTAATTGGTTATTGGGCATTGGCCTTAAGGAACAATGCAATGATTTACTTGAGTGACCACCAAACAATAACTTCCCAATGCGCAATTCTCAATGCCCAAAGCAACCTTTATCGAATCAGCTATATATCGTCACTAAGAGTTAGGAAACCGCGTTAGTCGTGCCATTAAGAAGGCTATATCGTTACTAATCAGATTCAAGAAAGTCAAGAACTTGCATTGACAAGCACTTTTGAGGGCGCTCAGAAAGGCTTTAAGCTCATCAAGCCCTCTTAGAGTATCGCAAGTATTGATACTGATGCAGCTGTTGCCCGGTCTCCGCTGCTAGCGCTTTGAACTCCTTTTACGTAAGCATCGTTAGAAAACTCGCTCAAGACCTCCCTAATGTATCACTATCTGATCAGCCTTTACTGTTCTTAGCGTGATTATTCATCGAACTGCCACCATGTAGTAATGGCTGATCATTAATGCTTTAGTTAACTTTGGTTTCATAAACCTTTGAGTTAAGAAAGAGAACACTTAAAAGCATTGGTAACTTGGTAAATAAATGGGGATCATGCACATCCGCAAACAGGCGAGGAAATTGTGAAGTGTTCTCAGGCTAAGAGGGTAGTGGTAACAGCGAGTTCAAACAGACGAAGAATCATAATAACCTACAATGCGTAACAGAACAACGGCGTTAACAACAAAGAAGGAAATAAAAAATTAAGGAAAAATCGGTACTATATCACGATTCTTAAACTAAAAGCCGAAGATATTCTCCTCTTTCCTACGAATTGGTTTCCCTGTTGAAAGGAAAAGTATGCTCTTATTTATTTACTACGCATTAATTTGCGCACAATGATAAACCTTCTTTAATATCAGTGGAGAAACTAGAGTTAATATGAATTAGGTTTTGTTTAACTCTAATGAATTAATTACCAAAATTTAAACCCCAAAATTAAAAAGTATCATGATAAGTTTTTTCTTTTTAAATACAATTAAAGAATAATACGAACATATTTTCGGCCTAAAATCGGCAGAAAAAATAAGAATATTCAGCCTGGGCCGGGAAAACAGTATTCTTGTAAAAAAGAATGGGTGTGTTTTAAACCGAAGAAACTGAAGCAAATACGACTTAATCTTATTAGCTGGTATCTACACCAACTACAGCAACTACACCAACTACACTAACTAGAGCAACTACACCAACTACAGTTACTACACCAACTACAGTAACTACAGTTACTACAAGAACTACAATAACTACAGCAACCACACTAACTACACCAACTACGTACGGTTACTACACCAACTTCAGCAACCGACAGCAGCAACTTCACCAACTACATCAACTACACCACCTTTACGAGCTACAGCAACTACAGCAACTGTAGTGGGCTAAGTGGGCATGGAATGTCTCTACAGTCGTGACGGTTATCATGAACATTAGCTGCCTTAAAGTTAATAAAGGATAGTGTATTGTTTTTTGAATACATTTTCATAGTTTCCATGTTGATTGTTGTTGTATTCGATTGCAGTTTAAGGCATAAATTGCTTTTGCAACACGCTTGCTCATTGGATTGTCACGTCATGTATAAACAGGTATTTTGATCATTTGCAATTGATTAAATTAAGTAACTAGGCTGCTGTGTCTTAAACCGCCTCACACTCTGCAGTTCATGCTTGACCATGTAGTTTATCAAACAATGTGTGCATGGGTCCAGCAAATACAGTACGTTGGATTGGTTGCATTTGCGACATAAAAGGCCGAATTCTCCTCAAGTCACCGCACAACTCTTTCTGTTTGACTGTATATTTGCGATTCATTGAAAACCAACTGCCGTTGCTAATTTAATATTACGTCAGTAGTTTCATATAACTTTCTTCCTTTTTGACTGACGAACTTCAGCACTTACAAAGCTCGACCTATCGCGTTTAGCTTAAAAGAAAAATATATATAATTACTGTGTGATTATAACGCCATATTTAAATTTTAAATTCCGGGTTCAGACATGCACAGTTTTAATTTCAAGTAAGGTGTCTTTTTTTGCTATTGTCGCGGAAGACTCAAAAGAACTCAGTTAAAAACCAATTGCCATCGGAGAAGGAAGAGAATCTTTGGAAAATATTCAGTAAGTGTCGCAAAGAATTATTTCCGGCGTCAGCCTCGTTCAAAGAAAAAAGCACTTGCAGAGTTCCTCAAAAGTTCTACACAGCTGCTAAAACTTAAGACTGTATAAAACGCTCCATTCAATAGCGGAAGCTGAAGGTCAGTCTCATTCAAAACTGATGAAACCTAGAAAGCAACGGATTTCTTTGCAAATTATACTAGAAACTGAACAGTGATCAGGGTCCCTTGTACAAAATGGCAAGTGCTAAAGGCTTGCATTTGACACTTGTTGTTAGCTGCGTCTTCAACGCTTTCTTGTGTTTCACTAGCATCTTGTTGAACATCATAACAATACAAGCGGTTAGAAAAACGTCGTCGTTGCCTAAGACTTTAAAAACGTTGCTTCTAAGCCTGGCTGTGTCTGATCTGGGTGTAGGCTTACTTGTCCAACCACTGTACGTTGCAATTCTTCTGATGGAAATAGACCAAAACACAAACAGCACCGCTTATAATTCAGTAGACAAAGCGTATGTAATCCAGAAAAAAATATTTGTCATGGCTTCGCATTTTGGTGTTTTTGCATTAACTGTTGATAGATTCTTGGCAATCCATCTTCATCTCAGATACCAGGAACTTGTAACTCACAAACGTGTTGTTGCTGTCGTGATCTCAGTCTGGGTGTTAAGTGCATCAATTTCCATCCTACGTGCTTTGTTCAGTGATCCTTTTATTATGCCAGCAGTCGTTATAGTCGTTTGTGTCCTAGCTACAGGATTGCTTTATTGCAAGATATACGCAGCCGTGAGACACCAAACAAACCAGATGCAAGCTCAAGTGCAACAAGTACAACAAGCGACACAGAATGAAGATATGGCAAATGCCGCAAGGCTGAAAAAATCTTCACTGGCTACATTCTACATTTATTTGGTGTACTTAGCTTGCTATTTGCCAATAGCTTGTGTTTCTCTTGCCAACATCAATAGTAAAACTGCCTTGTATTTCACATCGGTGACTCTTGTGTATCTTAATTCATCCCTCAATCCCTTGATCTACTGCTGGAAGATGAGACACATTCGACAAACTGTTATGAATATACTTCGAAATATTTTTACGATTGGTCCGCATTAAAGAAACGATCTAACTCAGAATAACTTGGCCTTTTTCCCCTCTGGTGAAGATAAAAGCTTTTCAGCAATACAGTTGGGAAAATGACGCTTAATATAAAAGGGACCTGAAACCTCTTGTACTTTCTATTTGAAAGGCAAAGGGATAAACATATGATCGAGTATAAGTTCATGAGATTTTAGTTTACTTTGGAATAATTAACAGATAACAGGAACTCTGAAATACTACTATATATCAAAGTCAGAAAGAGGGTAAAAAAGCTGAGTGGTCTAGGACGAATGACGAATGACTTGATAAATAGAGGGCCGAGTTTTCCAAATTTGCGATGATCAGAAAGATCTGTGTACAGGAAAGGGTCTTAAATGTTGTTAACCATGGTGCATGCAATAAAAAAGAAGACTAACTAAAGAGGAGAGAGATCAGAATTTTATCAATAAGTCTTTCATACTGAATGCACCAAGAGTGGCGAAAAGATTTACCAATATAACAACAGCAACAACAACACAATAATAATCATAATAATAATAACAATAATAATAATAAGAAGAACAACACAGCCTATTTGTTGAGAAAGACGAAAACTAGTAGTTTATACTGTTGAGAATATATATTACAATACTTGTAATTAATTCATATCAATAAATTCAAGTGAAAAAGAACAAATGTTTTGAAGAATGGCAAAAATATACCATTTAATCAGGCTTTTTTTTTAAATTTGTCGAACACAGAAATTAAACTGTCTAATAAGATCATTCCATTCGAAAGTTTCATCACTAATTTAAGTTAGAATTGCGTGCCTGCTGCCCGTCAGGAAAAAACCCTCAATTATTTTCGAGGGAAACCTGAACCCTCCCGAAAGCTTAATAATCAAAATAAGGTCCAAAGTAACTAAGTGCACAAGCATTTTGGGATGTCTGGTAGAAGATTTCTCCTCAGTAGAAACCTCACCTCTTTTCTGACATATCTTCTTGATAATTGCCAATTTATTCAAAGTGTAAACAACAAAGATCAGTAGTTCTTATGACTGCAAAACGTATAAGGAGCGTCTTAAATTTTAAGCAAGAGAAAAGACCTGATAAACAGAACCTTAAGAAAACCAGCAGAGAGAATCAAGCAGTGATAAGGGAGGGTGGGATGGGATTTTGTTCAACGAAGAGAAGAATATGAAGTGCTATTTTGCTGAGCTAGGCGCGAAAATATAGGCATCAACTGTTCATGTGATAGCTTGCATCTAATTGGCTGAGCGAAACAATTAGTGTGACTTGCAGGAAGTAACCCCTGAAAGGAAGTGAGCTGGTTCCATTACTGGTAAAGGCAGGTTTATGGTTATCACATTAACTTTTGTTTATCCTGTTGTATAAATTAGCTGCAAATAAATAAAAATACAAAATTTTAATCTTTCCACGATTCTTAAACTTAAATGTGTTTTTTCCCACACATTGTTTTTCCTGTTCGGTGGTTACGAGCGCTCTTTCATAATCATGAAAGTTCCCCCACAATTTCTGTTTCAGGGGAGGGAGAGAGGAACAGTATGCTCTTGTCATT